ATGTGGAATCCTTGAAAATGGGCAAAGGAAAATCAAATAAGATAGGTATGGCATGTCGGCCGGGGTGGTTCTCCTCGCACGCCCGCGCTCGAGGGAATGCTTGCACGGCTTCTGCCCGTGCGCTCGTTTGTCTTCACTCAATCGATTCCCGTCCGAACTCTGGACAGTAGGCCTGTTCCTTTCCTTTTTTTTCCCTCTCTCAGAGGATCATAATCCGAAATTCGGCTCCGAAGATGATGAACCACCTGGCCATGTAGTAGCGGGTGCTCAACTCGCCCCTGGAGGGCGGGTTCTCACACACATACATACACCCCTCCCCCCCCTGGAACGGGGTTCGGATGCGGAAATTTGCTTTCACGTGCAAGCCGCATACCGTAGAAACTCGTTCAAACTCGGGCTTGCGTTAAGCTGGATTTAGCACCAAAACTACGCTGATCTCAGCCACATTCTGAGGTTAATGGCTTGAGAGAAGGCTCATATTGGTCAAATCTCTGGTAAGACAGCGGGAGCACGGGCTAGCGCAAATTCAAGAATGGCCAGTTTTCACGGCACCTATGACAGCCGGGAGGGGAAAGACGAAGAAAAGTTGAAGAGGAGGACGAGTCAGCCCGGCGAAGTTTCCAAGTACCGGCCGGCGATACCCGCCCGAGAGAAGAAGGAAAAAAGACACCGGGGGACGGACGGACGGGGGAGTGGCGACCAAGTGGTCCCAGCGTTCTGTATCCGTTCGGATAAAGCTTTTCAGATTCCCGCCCATCTGTCCTCCCGGCCGGCCAAGGTATCGGCTGCGCCAGTGAAAAATGAGGGATTACCTAACATTACCTTACATTGTACGCTACCCCTACACTAGCTACAACACTCCACATCCGCATGAATCGCAACGTGCCAAAGTATCCGCCAGGCTCGGATAGCCTTTTTCACTTGTCCGGCTTACTCCCGCTCGGCGCCGGGGCCAAGGGCCGCAGCGAGCTCCGAGGGTCCCCTCCCCCCAAAGGAGGGCAGGGGTCACTTCTGACCAGCTACCGAGATACGGGATACCTGTCTGCCATTGCGAATTACCAATCTGCGCCTAATCTGCGAAACTGCCCTTGGGACCTTTACCAAGTACGAATCCGCGGAAACTTGTCACATCGTTCATCGTCGTATGCTAGTGCACTCATCACAGAGTACTTACCCTTAGGAAGACCCGTTTTTCTGTTTTATTGGTGACGTCGATCGCGAACTGCCGCGACACCCCCCCCCCCCCCCCCCCCCCCCCCCTCATCTCCCTCCACTCACACGCACACCCCACCACCCCCAGCCTGCTACCTCCTCACCCCCCCCACCCCACACTAGCCCCCGCCGCGCTCGTGCGTGCCGTAGAGCCGTCCCCGCCCCCCCCCCCCCCCCCCCCCCCCGCCCCTTCTTGGTACAACGCCGCAGTCTCGTTGAAACCACCGGCGCAGTGAAGAGAAGCAATTGGCATTGGCAAGGAGACGTATCCGTACATCAACTATTCAAAGGAGATGATGCATTCGATAGCGAGAGCCGTACCGCGTCTCACGCGAGGGTATCGCGGGGCGGTGATCCCACACCCGTCGGTGTCGTTGTCAACGTCATTGCTAGCGACGCGGCGGCGCACGCTCACCACCAGCGTAAGCCGGTCATCCTCGGCATCGTCACCACCACCACCATCGTCGTCGTCGTCGTCTTCTTCCTCGCCGAGGTCAAAGTCAAACTCAAATTCACAAGCCAGCAGGCCATCGGCGCCTCCCCCGCCGTTCGAGCTCGTCCCGACATGTCCGTCGCCGACGTGCGAGTGCGCCGCGACGCCGGCGATGCCCGAGGGCTTGGACATTGACTTCAAGAGCCCGCTCAACGGCGTCGTGGCGGGGTACGCTGAGCAGGTGCTCGTGTGCACGGGGCAGGACGACTGGGTGTCGAGGATCGAGGAGGAGAACAGCGGGGATAACCTCGCGGCGGATTTGAAGGAGTTGTTTGGCCGTGGGGGGACGTATAGCGATGTAAGCTTTTTTTTTTTTTCCCCCTTTTGCCGAGTATCTTACTTTTGCCCTTGCTTCTCCTCCTTGAGCGTTGGAGGCATGTACGTGGCCGAGGGAGGTTCACATGGCGCTGGTGTGTTCTGCAGCAGAAGCGTCAATAGGGTTCATGGCAGTCAACCTTTCCCCCTCCAAATACTCATGAGAGCTTCACATGATATGGTAAAAGAACACCTTGGGCTGACGGTAAGTGAACGCCCCGTTCCACCAAAATACAGCCCTGGCACAACATCTCCACCATAAACGCCTCCTTCCCCTCCTCCGTGCCCAGGCGGAGCGAGGTGCAGACCACGAGCGCCTACCTCCTCCCGAGCTTCAAGTACGTGCCCTTTTTACCGCGCGTCAGCTTCGACAGCGTCCAGGCGCTCGCAAAGGGCTATCTGCTGCCGGAGACGCTGCACACGATGCACGACGGGAGCCTGTCGCCGATCCACCGGGACCGGTTGACGCGCAAGGAGGCGTACCGGTCGCTGCTGTACGGGGTCCGGGACGTGAAGGAGGTGCTGGTGTTGATTTGCGGGCACGGGGGGCGGGATATGCGGTGCGGCGTCATGGGGCCCGTATTGCGGGATGAGTTTGAGAGGAGGTTTGAGGGGGTTGGGGTTGGTGTTTTGAGGGGCGCTGTTGAGATTGATGAGGGGGAGGAGGTGGGGAGGCTTGCGGCGCCTGCATTGTCTGAGGGTGAAGGTGGTGAGAAGATGTCAGCGAGGGTTGGGTTGATTAGCCATATCGGAGGACACAAGTTTGCGGGGAACATCATCATCTATATCCCGCCTGGGCAGCTTATGGCTGATGGGGAGAAGCATCCTCTGGCTGGCAAGGGCATTTGGTACGGTAGGGTTGAGCCGAAGCACGTTGAGGGTATCGTCAACGAGACGGTTCTCCGGGGCCGGGTCGTCGCTGATATGTTCCGGGGCGGCATTGACGAGGATAGAAAGATCCTGAGGCTCTGATGGAGCGGGTGTGTGTGTGCCTCTGATGAGGCTGAGTGAGTGTAAGAGTTGACTTGTACAGTATCATAGAGTGTGGGACATCTCCCTGGCGGCACAATGGCATCAAGCTTCTCAGACTTGCTAGAGGTTTGTGCATTTTTAGACGGAGGCCATCAAAATTTGATGCATATGAGGGGTTTAGGTCAGATATAGACACTCTTGTCGTAGTTAGGACTACCCGTGAGATACTCAAATCCTAGAGGATCAGGGCTCTAGAGACTGCCAAGGCCATAGCATTTGATTTTCAAGATCTTACGATTCTCTGGCTGGTGTAGGTGATCTTGGGACTGACTCCTCAGCGCTTTGCATTGGCATCAAGTGATTGAGCACACGTGATCCTTTGAGAATCTTGCCGTTCCCGAGTAAGAAGGGTAACTCGTCCCAAAATTGTCCCAAAATGAACTAATTTGACAGGTGAATGTCAATCACACTACGGAACAGAAGGCTCCGAGACCAATTTCCGCTGTTCCTACATTAGCCTGGAACTGGCAGACTGGCCCAGCGATGCTCAAATCAGGAGAGCGGAGCACACAAATTCTTCCATATATGAAGGTAAGCGTCCATCGTCCATCCACCTACTTGGCAAATGCAGGACCATGTTGGTGGCGTATGGAAGAAATACAGATTGGCATGAATTACAGCGTTTGCAAATCTGATAGAAAACCTACACTTTGACAGAGAATCTAAATATATAGTCACAATCTCAAATTAAAAGGTCTGATGCCCCTCTTCCTAGTGGTTCAGGAGAACTTGGGCTCACGAATACGTGCGGGAAGAGGAGTGACGTAGGGGGAAGGGCACCTTTTCCTTGGGACACTTCTCTGTCAGATGCGGAAAGCAAGTCATTCTTTACTAACTATATGTGTTTTAGCTAACGCAAAGGATGACTGGAACCACTGCATCTTCCTGCCCTGTTTTCGGGTGGCCATGACTAGTGAAGACATACTTCTTAACCCTGCTACTGGACCTATCTATAGCGCAGATGGAAGCTTCGCATACTAACAGAGAGGAGTATGATGATTGAAAGGCCCACAAACTGATACAATGCCCGAGCTACAGTTAATGTCGACCGATATTGCAGTCATTCTGTATTAATCTCTATTGTCTTTGACGAACCAAGCCAGCTTGGACACATGACGGTGGAATCCCAAAAAATTCATTTGTTGAGTACAAAAAGAATGGCGAGTAAGACACACTTTGGTCAGTTAGGTCATCAAGTTGCTGCCTTTGCGTGCGATCTTGACCAGACCACGGCTGAGGAGAGGTTCCTCTTACTGATGCCGTGAGGGATATCCCAGGGTTTTTTATATGGTTCAGGGACCCTTCTACGACTGAAAATTGTAGACTGCAGACCTCAGACACTAGAATGCATCCATCTTATTAATTTTCTGACCGACTTTCTGCAGTTGCCTTCTTTAACCTAGCCAATATCACAGTTGAAAGAGTCGGTCGAGATTTCTGTATCCTGCCACTCCAAGTAAACTGACAGATATACTCGACAAATTTGAATCAGCCAATAAAATACTACAAGGTGTCAAGGATGCTTCTGAAGTAGTATATGGGTGGCGTTGCAGTCTTTGACAACCTATTAGCGCCCTGATTGCCGCACGTACGATTTTCAAGTCAACTCGCCTCACAGAATCAAACTATATCCCGCCAACGACAACGCAAAAGATTGCTCCAGACTGATATGAATCCACATTTACTTAAGTTTGGTATACGACCAATATAACGAAAAACAAATATATTTACCGACCCTGGGTGTAAGTGTTCTCGGGTGGTAGCCAAACAAGCAACTCACGTGACCGTGCACACCTCAGTCTCGCCGGACGGAACTAGCCCACTCGGAGCTTTCATCATCGAAATTTCGTCGCCATCTATAACTTGTTTCTCACCCCGAGGATGGGGGGCAAATCCAACACCGCCTAAAAGTACCATTTGCGATAAATCAGGAGGAACTCAGAAACAGATGGGGGCTTCTGCATTAGTCTCCGCCGGCGGTGCGGCCCTCCGGCCAATCGCCGGACGTTCACTCACCCATATCCGACCTCAGCTCCGTGCCACTTCGGCCGCCGCACCCGCATCCCGGTCAGCAACATCTGTAACGACGGCGGCCCATTCAGCCCGGCCATCACAGCACTTTTCCGCCTGGGCAAGCCGGCGTATGACACCACCATCATCATCCGCACTCTCATCCACCCCGGCGCTTGCGCTTGCGCATCGCCGCCTCAAATCCACAACAACAACCGCTCACGAAACCCGGCGTCCCCCCAAACGGAAATCCTCCTCCTTTATAAGCCCACGCTTCCTCCCCGTCCTAATTCTCATAGCAATAGGTGGCATAGCATGGGACTCGCAATGGCTCTTCCCCTCCACGCCCTCATCCAACGACCCAGCCGAGCAGACAGCCCTCGGTGCGGCCCGCAAATTCGTCCCCTTTGACGTCGTCGCCCGTGAGCAGGTCTCCCCGACCTCCTTCATCTTGACCCTCAAGGCACCTCGCGGCGGCAGCAGCAACCTCGCAAGCGTATCCTCCCTCTGGGACATCTTCGACCTCTGGTGCGTGGAGGTGAAGCAGCCTCAGATCCAGGTCGCGCGGGAGTACACGCCCCTCCCGCCGGCCCCCGGCTCCCTGCACAACAATGAGAATACTATCCGGCTATACGTCCGCGCCGTGCGCGGAGGCGAGGTCTCAACGTATTTAAGCCGCCAGACGCCCCCTTCTTCATTGTCAGATAGCCCTGCAGTAAATGGAGACACAGTCGAGCTCCGCGGCCCACACGGCGAATTTGACCTCCGCTCCCGTCTAGGCGGACGAGGCGACCGCGTCGTCTTCCTCGCGGGCGGAACGGGCATCGCCAGCGCGCTACAGGCCGCGCACGCCGTGCTGCCGCTCCCCGACGCGCCGTCAATGACCATCTTCTGGGCCGTCAGGAGCCGTGATGAGATTCAGGACCAGCGGGCCGGGCATACGGCGCCACCGCCGCCGCGAGTGAATTCATCATCGACGTCGTCGTGGAGCCAGTGGAACCCCTTTTCGACATCAGTAGCAAACAAAGCCGGATCCGCGCGAATCCAGGCCGAAGCGCTCCTGTCCGCAGATACCCTCGCGGCCCCCTCGCCCATCAGCAGGGAACTCCTCGCCTTGAAGGTGAAATACGGCGACAGGCTCGACGTCCGCGTCGTGGTCGACCAGGAAGGCACCACCGTCCGCGAAGCAGACCTATCCGCCGCGCTCGCCCTCCAGGGCCCCAAGACCCCCCATACGACGACGACGACGACGCCGTCCCACGCCGTCGAAGGCTGCAAGTTCCACTCCCAGGCCGCGCACGTCGGCATGGTCGACGGCGCGCCAAACGCCGGGAAGCGCAGCCTCATCAAGCAGGACCATTGCGCCTGCTCCGCCGATGACGCCGCGCCGCGGGGGAAGAACCTCTTTGTGGTGTCTGGGCCCGAGGGCTTCGTGCAAGCGTATGCTGGAGCCAAGCTGTGGCGCGACGGCGGGCAATTGCAAGGTCCCGTCGGTGGCATGCTGGGCGCGATGCAGAGGCGGAACTCAGATATCTTGAAGGACTGGATTGTTCTCAAGTTGTAGAAATAATCTCCCCCGATTGGAGTTTGTGTACATCATTCCATAGAGCAAAGCCATGTACAACACCATCAGGCAAACGAGCAGGATTTGGCCCAACAAACTCAAGTTCGATAATGCTGTCTAGTTCTCTGGGCTGTCGATAGCCCCATCCAAATAATGCCGTACAAAGCTGAAAAAAAGTTTCCCAGGCCCGTCAAACTCCGCCTAATAATGCAACATCGCAGCAGCCATTTCCTTTGATGGCAGCGAAACCGTCGCTAACACCGCCCAAGACGCCCTTACAAAGAGCTTTGAAGATAGATACAAAAAAAGATCTCATACTACAATAATAAAGCCGCTGACGCGGTTTCTACCTGCTCTGCACTTTTCTATACGAGGGCGGCTTCATCGTCCTCCTGATAAGCTTCACCGCGTAGGGTGGGATGAGAGATATCGCCGCGATGGCGAGGACGCGCCAGATGAATCCCCTTGATTTCGGTCAGTCTGTGGGATTTATGTCAAGCATGAACACAAGGCGACTTACAAAGTGATGATGAATTGGAGGTCAAAGTAACCACCGAGGAACGGCACAGAGCCAACGAAAATGACAAACGTGCCAACAATGGAGATGATCATGGCAGGGTGCCACGTAGTAATCTCAATGGCGACCATGAGAAGCTCGTTGAGGACAAGTACGGTATACGAAACTGCCACCATCTTGGGTCCGTCGACTTCGGTCAGGAGCTGCGACAAGCCTTGGATGGTACAGCCTTGATAGATCGAAACGGCAACCCAGACAAAGAAGGTACGGTAAGACAGGGACCGACCGGAAGTGAGCTCTTTGTACAGCTCCGGATACAGATTCGCCAAGTTCTCGTCCACATCCTTATCAAGGACAAGAGAGAGAACAGGGAAGGCTGTATACACGGTAGAGTATCCGACGAGAAGCCAGTCCTGCGAGCCAAGGTTAGGAACACGAGTCGTTGTGTATGATTGGAGGGAAAATAACATACCTTGTAAAGACCTTCGGGTTCGAACTTGATGGCGATACTGTACATCGTCTGGCAAACCGCAATGATCAATCCGCGATGGATGACAAACTGGGCGAGCTTAGCACTACGCTTGTAACTGTTGCGTCCGTGCCAGACCAGCAATTTGGTCAGGTGGTAGAACTGCTCAATCGAGAAGTCTGCTGCCAGACTAGCTTGCCGACCTTCCTTGCCCACAATACCAACACCGACATCTGCTGCCTGAATCATAGAAACATCGTTGCCTCCGTCACCGATACAGCAGACCCTCTTTTTGGTATACTCCTTGATCAGCTTGGCAATTTCCGCTTTCTGCGTGGGCGAGCATCGGCATGCAACAACCGTAGGGAGTTGCACAGCCACGGACACAAATTCGATCCTGAAGTGGGTGAGGAATAGAGACAGACTCTCGCCATCGATCAGGAGACAAGAGTCCGTTTTACCACGGAGGAAGTCGAGGTGGTCTTGTGCATTGTCCTTCTTCTTAAGCTTGGAGACGGTGTAGATGTACTGACCACGGGCGACGAGCTTGGAGCTGACGGCAACGCATCGAGCTGTTTCGACCTTGTCACCAGTCAACATCCAAATCTTGATGCCTGCGTTTCTCAAAAGCTCCAAGGATGGCTTGACGTCCTTTTGCAGCTTATCCTCTACACCAGTGACGCCGAGGAGCTCCAGATCGCGTTCAAGGTACTGGGCCACAACACGTTGCATGCCAGCGTCTCGTCCAGCGATAGCCAAAGAGGCCGCTTGGTAGCTCCCGGTGAACTCCTTGTACTGCTCGTAAGACAAGCGCTTCCGGCCGACCACAAGTGTACGCAGGCCCTCTCGGGCCATGTTGGAGGTTTCTTCGTCAAGCCAGTCATTCTCAGCCACAATGGGGCTCATGACTGTGTCAGCACCCTTCTGGTAGAACCATATTTCGCTGTTGGCGAGATTTGGCACTGTTGACTGAGTCTGGTCGAAAAATTGGACGATGATGCCCATTCGTTTGCCCTCAGAAGTGAAAGGGAAAACATCCAAGATGCGCACGCGTACAATCTCACGGCCGCTCTCTGTCGACTCGAGAACCATGCTCGTGCGATCTCGATAGGCGAGGCGAAGTCCGACGGATTCGGTCCAGCGGACGATGGCAATTTCGTCAGGAGAGGAAGCCTGGTAAGAAACAACAGTCTTTCCATCTTCCTCCTCTGTTGTCGGCGTCACGTTGTGGCATAGAGCCAGAGCGAGGACCACGTCTCGGACACGGGTGCCAATTTCTCTTCTTGTGCGTGTCGCACCTACGTTTGTCGAGTTGGCAAAGGTTGAAGTAGGCGTGATCAACATGGTGTGTGACGAAGGGTCGGTAGTAGGTTGTATATGGAAACCTTGCTTGACGTACGATATAACTTCGTCCATGGCCTCGTTGGCGTAGGAGACAGTGCCAACATGGATCTTCTTCATCTCCATCTCGTTTTGGGTCAGCGTGCCAGTTTTGTCGCTGAGCAGGTATTCGATTCTTCCCAGATCTTCCGGGATCGTGCTCGTTCGCACAACAGCTCCAGCAATGCCGGGATCTCGTTGTATAAACCAAGAGTAAGCGCTCTTGCCCATGTCGAGATTGACACGCAGACTAATGGGCACGATAGTCGAGAAAAGAATTAGGAATCGCATAATCTTAATGTACCAAACATTGTCTTTGGTGTTTCCAAAGCCTTCCAGCGCCACAAGGATGATGGAAAGCGCCAAGGTCAAAGCGCACAGAATCTTGGTGAGCGAGTTGATCTCGTACTCCAAGAGGCCCGTCTTGGATCGCGAGGGCGCAGTCGACAGCGCTGACCTCGTCTGAGGTCCCGTGTACATGATGACTGCGAGAGTGGTGGCATTGGAGGCGATCACCGTGTTCGCCCAGGCCGTGTTGTCAATCGACAAGGGGGCCGAGGTACCATCTTCTCCGTCAAGGGCCCCTTGCTGACTTTGTGCATCCCGCTTGCTGGACAGCAGCTCGACTGTACCGATGAACTCGTTGACCTTTCTGTCCGGCTTGCCTCCAGTTACACGTAGGCGGACAAACTCCTCTGTATTTAAGTTTTGCGTCAAAGGGGATGCCAAGCGCAACTTCCAATCCGTTTCTCCGTCAAGCTGATCTGTCCGGATGAAAGTTTCGCCAGCGGCACCGCCGCCGGTGCCACTGTTCTCGGCTTCTTTGCCCTTGGTATCGGGGACTCGCGCGGCTTCAGACTGATCTTCTTCAGCATCGACTAGTAACGACTCTTCCTCCGCGATCACCTCCATCACCGGCGCCTCGGTAGTAGTTTCTGACGTGATGCATTTCAAAATCACGACGTCGGCAGGAACTCGTTGACCCTTGCCTAGAACAAGAACATCGCCGACTTTGAGGTCGCGCGATTTGCGACTGACCTCACACACTGACGAGGATGGCTGGGCAGTAGATCCTTCTCCCTCAGCTCGCTCTCCCTCCTCCTGAATATCGGAGAGCCTATCTCTCAGGCCAGCCAAGTTTTTGCCCTTCTTCCTCATGGAATCCGACTTGAGCCTCTTGTGTGTCCGCGATGCCGAAGCCAGGCCACGACCCGGCTCATCGAATGACAAGACTGTATATGCCTCTGCGTTGGCCTCGTTATCCCTTCGTCTTCTTTCGATGTCGTCGTACGCCTCCTTTCCCATGGTTATGAAGAGCACAAACGCCAAAGGCGCCACATAAGTCGTAAGGTAACCGATCCGTAGTGGGGGAATCGCTTGGGATAGAGCCACGAGCAGGAAGTACATGTTGAAGAAGAAGGAGAATTCGTTGTACAGAGTGACGGGTAGGAACGTAAGGGCCGTATACTTGGCGTTCGATATCAGGTTCGGCGGAAATCTCGTCGCTTGGGAGGATCCTACGGCAATGAGGCGGGCGCTCGACGGATCATCTTCATCTTGGTCCTGGGCATCGTCCTTGCCCGCTTCTTGTGCCCCTGAATTCGACATGAAGCTCGGTAGTCTTATGCTGGAAGTGAGCCGCTCGAATCTGTCTCCAGCGAAGGAGCGACGGCGAGGAGGTGATCCACCAGGTAAGAGAGGGGAGTCGTCGTCGGAACCTGCACCAGCAGTCCCATCCCTATATTGTGATGAGGAGGCTGCAGGTTCGCCGAGAAGTGCTTGGGCATCCTCGCTGGTGCCATCACGGTCCTGGCCGAGTTGGCCATATCCCCTGGCCTTCTGCCCAGCTCGTCGTGAGCCCCCCATGCGTAGATTCCGCAGTGCTATACGTGGCGATCGATGTTCGGTGGTCTGGCGGTCGTGGCGGAGGAGTCCAGAAGTGCGATCGGTTGTGGTTGTGGCAGGATCAAGCTCCTGGATGTCGAGATCGAGGTCTGAATCGGAATCATCCCCTGGAGAGCCTGGCGGGTCCGCGGAACGATAGGAGGTTGGAGAAGGCATCCCGCCCGCATTGGGAGGAGGTATATGCAGAGAGCAACTTTTTTAGGCAGATGCCGCAATGCGGGAAGTCGTGATAGAGTTCGGTTGAGGGTGCCTGTGCTGTTGCTCGGAGAGCTGCATCGGATAGCTTCGGTTGGAAAGAGTGAGAGGATGGCGCGGGCGCTCAAGTGTACGCGATGGGGACCTGTGTCGTCCAGTCAAGCCGGCGGTCGTGGTGATATTTCGCGACGTGCAGGTTGGGTGCCGTTAAGTCTTGGTGTTTAGGGACAAATAAACCGTTGTCGCAAGCATGCCGAGAGAGCCTTAGAGTCTTGGAGGCTTAGAGGCATGAATGAGGTCGCCTGGAAAGGCCGAGCTCATCTCATTGGGCAAAGGCTGTCCGAGCAGTATCCAGTTTCCAGTGCGTATTCCAGGATTGACACGGGGGCACTTTAAGTGACGAAGGCCGCCGCGTGGCCTTTAGTGTGCTGTAAACTCGCTGCCCGACCATGCCCGGCGCGGTCAGGCGGGCAAACGGCCTTCCTTCCACCTGTCACCTGTGGTGGCACGCCACCTCAGATCTCTGCCGTCCCTGCTTGAGGTCGGCTAGCGGGGAGCAGTTCATCTCTAGGCTCCCCAGGTCCCCTTGAATCCCTCCAGGGACGCAAGTGAAGCAAGCCCAGTAGCTTGCATGTTTGATTTAAACACATCAGCGTCCCGAAGACACTCACTTCTCTCTATATTTCTTTCTTCGCAGAGGAATCGAAACTTGTCGCATCAGCTTATGCCACGTCTTGGAAAAGAGTGTAACACACATTACATTCCAGACTGGCCACCTTATTCATTGACATGGAAACGGTGCCTCGGGTCTCTGATGTGGCCGCCAGCCCGCGCAATGGGCGATTGAGGTGGCCCCTTTTGAAGACGGAATGACGGAATCGGCCCCGGTTCTGGACCTATGACTGGGTGGGCCATTCCAGCCAGGACACCACTGACGGACTCGTGGATTTTTTTTCCTTGCGAACAGCCATGCCGGGCCTTGTAGATATGCATGTACCTTGCCACATTGGACGCGCCCAGAGATACATGCAACATGTACCGCGCCAGACCATGCCTTTATCGTACCTGCCAGCTTGCATTTGTACCTTGGGCCACCTCATGCTTCATGCCTTTTGGCTCATTAGACTTTCTCCCCCATCCAGCCCCAAAAAACCACCTTTGCATCTGTAATAGTCACCTTCGATCCACAAACTCTTCAGCTCAGCATGGAGTTTGTTGTTGTGTATTCTATCTAGACCTTTGCTTCTCTTGTACATGTACGTTCTGTTCCGTCCTTCCCGGCTTCTCTAGTGAACCCCCGGCCTCGTTGTCGTCGTCGCGTTATGCGACGCCAATCGAGTGGACTCGCGCATCGTGTCTCGTACTGACAATCCTCGACTCAGCTGTTTCCCCGAGCCTTCGATCTAGCCACATCGCAAACCCGCATGATTCGACCTAATTAGACAAACATCATGACTTCCGAGGACCCGAACGCCTCGTGGCATCCAGCTTTCATGCCTAATGATGCTAGTGGGCGTGCAAGCACGGAAGCTCGACTTTCTTCAAGCGCAGAAACCGACGATTTACCATCGGCGGCTCCCCTTCACAGCCAGCTCGCTGAAGATCTCGAGCCTGCACCCCCACCACAAGTGTCACAGCTGGGAAATCAGCCCGAGAAACAGAGTAGTCCCTGGCTCGTCGAGGACGACGACCAAGATGCTTCCAATGATTGGCCCGTTTTCGAAAGACCAGTGTCAGATGCCTTGGCCGCTAGCGACGACGACCCAAAGGAAGCTTCAAATTCGGCTGTAGCTGCTGAATCAGAACCGAACTTGCCTCCCTCTGCCGAACCGACAGACGAGGTCACTCCGCAGCCGCAAACTGTGACCGAAGAACCCAGACCATCCGCACCTACGTTGGGTCATACCAGCACCAACTCATTCACTCGGACTGTCTCCCACGAGGTTAACTGGGATGATGACCATGACACCGAATGGACGCTATCCCGGACCGATACCGACCCGTTCAAGTTTATGCCACCGAACGACAGGACGAACTCATTCCCACCCGTCCCGCCTGCCAGCGGAGCATCCATAACCGTCCCTGGCACGGAGCAGCCTCTTCCGTCAAACCAAGCCGAGGACTTGATTCACGAAATAGAGAGCGCACCTGAACATTTCGACAATGGCGCTTTCGAGGAGACGAATCATGTCGCAGCCGACTTTGTAAACGGCTTTGACAACGAGGAACCGCAGGACGACCAGCACTACGTAGGCCGTGATGCTACATTTACTGGGCAGGAGGATCTCGGTTCGCGTTATGAAGAGGGAATACCTCTCATTCCCCATTCCGAGTCCAATGGAGAAGCATCGCAGCCAGACCAGAAACTTGCTAGCTTTGGGGACGAAGAAGCAGGCGAGGATGACTTCTTCAGCCAGATCCACAGCTCCAACAACGACGACTTTCCCGACTTTGATGGGAACCATCCACTGGAGCGCAAATCCACAATGCAAGTCTTGGGCGCCATGAACGCATCGACACTGTCTAGAGCTGATACGCTGGACGAAATGCTTGAAGAGGACGAAGACGTTAATGAGGCTATGAAGTCGACGGAGGTGTCCGATGGCCTTGAGGGGCCTGCGCAGCCTACCCAGTCCGAAGATACTGGAGCAAAACCGGCTGACGATCTTGCTGCTAAGTGGGAACAAGCTTTTGCGGACGATGACGGAGAAGACTTCTTGCTGGACGAGTCGCTCGACGAGGCCGGCGAATCCAAGCCAGTCGATCCATCAGCATTTTTCGGTAGCGATGATGAGGGCTTCCTCGACGACGACGACGACGACGCCGACGACCTGCCTACGGCTGCGGCCCCGACTCTCAGCAATGTTCAGCCTTCCGGACAACAGAACCGATATACTCCTGCCGTTGCTTCCCATCAAGCTGCTCGCTCTTCTTACACTCCGAGTGCGCCGGCAGGGCCGTCGCCCTATCAGCCTCAGAATGCAGCCACGCCGTTTGCGCCAGCGGTAGCCCCTTATGCTACCCAGCGTACGCAGTCAGCCGCGCCTTACAATTTGCAGCAGACGCGTCCCGAGCCTGTCAAAGCCCAGAGTTTTGCAGCGCAGTCCAAAGGCGGTTATACATCTCCGTACGATCTCCCCATGGAAGTTGTTGTCCCGAAAAAGAGGACCAGCACACAACAACTCCCGCAAAGCCCAGTGACGGGGCCGTCGTTGGGTCCTCCTCCGCGTAGCTCTAGCATGCAAGCTCACACGCCGCCGCCACCACCCAGAGCTGCTACCTCTAGCTCCTCACCCCCGACGTCGAGTCATTCTGGGCAGCCTCTGCCAGCAGGGAAACCTGTACCTCTGCTTCGAAATAAGGACAGTTTCTTCGAGGAGCTGCCTATGGCTTCCAAGCCCCGATCAGCTTCTCGACAGAGCCACCGAGTTGCTTCGCCAGCTTTGGCTGGGCCTCCTGAACCTCTTCAACCGCAAACTCATTCTCAGCTTGCTCCTTCACCACTGTCGCCGCCAATGTTGTCGCCTCCAGGTTTGAGCCACTCGCTCTCTGGAGGCATTCCACCTTTGGTGCCTGGTGAGCGTGTCAACCCCTATGCATCTCAGACGGCGCAACAGCAGGTCCCTGGTATTCCAGGCAATGCGAGGTACTCTCCCGCTCCGTCGGTACCGAGTACTAATGGAACCAATCGCCCGCCATCCGTGAGCAGATATTCACCCGCGCCGGGGGCCGCAAGGCCTCCCGTGCCCGCTTTCCATGCAGCTACCACGCCTCCCACTGTTCTGCCACACTTACCTAGAACGTCTAGTCCGTTGGCCCATTTTGAGGTCTCGCGTGAAGCGGCCGCAACCAATGGAGACCACCCTCAGCTTGACCGTAGGTCGAGCTACGGCATCGAGCCAAGAAGAGTTCCATCACTTCCTACTACTCGTGAGGTCGAGGAGGAGGACGATTCGAAAACTTCATATGCAGCTCAGCCTACAAACGGTGCACCCGCTGAGTCTCGCTACAGCCCGGCACCGCCGATGGTTGCGAGGCAGACCCCGCCGCCGTCATCCCACGGCCCCCCTGTGCACTCGACTTTGTCACCTTCGAAGAGGTCCACGTCCAATTACATGCCACAAGCCCCCCTTCATGATTCACCCCCCGATAACAGGTATGCACCGCCACCGAGATCCCAAACCCAGTCGCCAGGATCCTCTCAAGGAGCACGCCCACAGTCTCAACCCGTGCCTCGGCCGACTTCGGTCCACAGCCCGACATCCCCTCGAGCAACTAGGAGTTTCCAACCGGTCAACGCCCCTGTCTCTCGGCCCAGGGGACCCTCTCAAACCTTCAACATGGTTGCGCCAACTGATGGTCGCGAAAATGATCCTCTGCAAAGATGGAAAGGTGCACCGATTATCTCATGGGGTGTTGGCGGAACGATGATAACCTCTTTCCCCAAGAATGTACCGCGTTACGGTATAGGTCAAACCGCCCCCATGATCATTCGCAGCCCAGGCGAAGTATACGTCAAACATATCAAAGACACCCAACCACTCGAAGAGAGACTGGCAAAGTTCCCTGGGCCTCTGCGTGGGAAATCAAAGAAGAAGGAAACGATCGCCTGGTTGAGCTCAGGCATAGACACCCTGGAAAAGGAAGTACCCGAAGTTTCTTTCCAACCTCGAGTTTCCCACGAGCACAAGCGTGCGATTGAGCGATTGCTGCTCTGGAAAATTTTGAGGGTTTTTGTCGAGCACGATGGTGTCCTGGAAGGCACTGCCGCCGTAGACAAAGCTGTGCGAGATATATTGGCCCCAGGCCTGGACGCCAACACCAACGAGGGCGCCGTTGGCTATGGTGCCGGTATCGGCGCTGACGCTCTTCAAGAATCGTCTTCAACTCAGGTGAGGGCGGATGTGGTGGATTCATCTACAATGGATCAAATCCGGAAGTATCTCCTAGTTGGCGATCGCGAAAAGGCGGTGTGGGAAGCAGCTGACAAACGGCTTTGGGGCCATGCCATGTTGATTTCCAATACCGTTTCCCCAGATCTCTACAAACAAGTCGCCCAGGAATTCGTCAGGAAAGAAGTCAATTACCCAGGACACGCCAATGAGTCTATTGCCGCGCTTTACAAGGTTCTCTCGGGTAACTTTGACGACTGCGTTGACGAACTGGTTCCGGCCCACGCTCGGGCCGGTTTCCAGCTTGTCAATACAACATCTGCCAGTGGTTCGACTAGGGATGCCACTGAAGGACTCGATAAATGGCGGGAGACTTTGGGACTAGTCTTGAGCAACCGCAGTACTGACGACGTCCGGGCCTTGAACGCACTCGGTAACTTGTTGTCCTCGTATGGACGAGCTGAAGCCGCACACATATGCTTCCTGTTCGCTAGGAAAGCTACTGTTTTCGGGGGCCTTGATGACCCTGCCTCGAACTTCGTCCTTGTTGGCGCAGATCACAAGACCCAAGGAGAGCAGTTTGCTAAGGAGACCGAGGCTCTGCTATTGAGTGAGGTCTACGAGTACGGCCTGTCGCTTGCAGGAGGCCCATCCCTGACCGTCGGTGTGCCGCACTTGGCAGCGTACAAGCTCCAGCATGCTATGACTCTGGCTGAGTATGGGCTTCGCGACAAGGCTTTGCAATATTGCGAGGCGATTGCCAGCTCCATCAATGCTCAGACCAAGAGATCGAACTATCACCACCCAATCCTGGAGACGGCTGTAGAGAACTTGCGAACGAGGCTCAGGCAGGCTCCCAAGGAAGAATCATCGTCCTGGATTTCCAAGCCTAGCATGAACAGAGTTTCGGATACAGTCTGGAGCCGGTTTAATAAGTTTGTTGCTGGCGACGAGAACGACGGCTCTGCTGCTGGCGCATCCGGTGAGGGTGGTGCCGAATCTGGACCGTTCGCTCGGCTGGCGGGAGGCACTCCTACCATTAGTAGATCGCCTTCTGTGTCAAACTTCGAGCCTATGTACGGAACTGGTGCTTCCAGCCTCCCAGTCGGGACTCCTCCTGCTGCGGTTCCCATCCCTGCTACGAGAGCCGCCTCTCGATACGCGCCAGGCCCGTCTCAAACACTTGCTCTGTCAAGCTCCTACGAAGCCGGCTCTGGCTACACACCCGGCCCAGCTTCAGTCGGGCGCTCGTCAAACGAATACTCCCGCAGTCCCTATGAGCCACGAACGTCGATGGACTCCCAACCTGGGTATACAAATAGCGGATACATGCCTCAAAACTCGACAGGGCCATCTCAAGCTTACACTCCACCTACGTATGGTGGTGGCCAAGACACGGCTGCTTCTGCACAGATATTGCCAAGAGCCGTTCAAGCCTCTCCTATGCAATCGCCGACCAAGCCCACGTACCAGGGCTACGAGCCATATGACAGTCAAGCTCCCGCCGTTCCGTCTGTCGAACTTCAAACCCAGGACACTGTGGAAAACAATCAGAAACCAGACAACAATCTGGCCAGTCCAGGCTACCAGCCACCTTCTTATGGATACGAACCTCCATCGATGTCCAACGTCGAGCCTCAATCACAACCTGCAGAGCCTGCTGGGGATGGTGGATACGATCCCCCTTCGTTCCAGCCGTATGGCTATGAACCCCCTTCGTACAATCCCGAGCCTGAGCAGGACGATGAAGGGGAGCGCGGGCCGAAGCCCAAGAGTTTCATGGATGATGACGATGACGATGATATTCCCGCCCTCAAGGCGCTTAAGCCTCAAGAGAAGGGAAAGTCAGAGAAGGACAAGGAGAACGAAGAAATGTTCAAGAAGGCGGCAGAGGAAGACGGTAAGTAACGCATATTTCGCCATCATGTTAGCAATACTAACATCTCTTAGCCAAGCGAGCGGCAGCACAGCAACAGTCCAAGAAGGGATGGGGTTTCGGCAGCTGGTTTGGGGGCAAAAAAGAAGCTAGCCCGGATCCTCAGCAGGGTAATAAACCCGTCAAGGCCAATCTCGGTGAATCCAGCAGCTTCGTGTACGACCCTGATCTGAAGCGCTGGGTGAACAAGAAGGGAGGGGCAGAAGCGACACAAGCGAAGACGGCAACACCGCCGCCGCCAAAGGGCGCTTCGAGATCCAACACGGGAACGCCACCTCCGCCGCGCACCATGACACCCCCCAAGGGTCGCGCGAGCGCTCCTCCCGGAGGACCGCCTGGTCCGGCACTCGCCCACGCTACGTCTACCGAAAGCCTTGGAGTGCCACCAGGTCCGCGACCTCCGAGCATGATGCGGTCAGTATCGAATACCAGTGCTGGAGGGCCTCCAAGCGCTCCTCCAAGCCGACCGGCAACGAGCATGAGCAATGCCAGTAGCATCGACGACTTGATCAGCGCGGCAGGTCCCCGAAAGCCGGGTGCGAAGAGGGCAAAGAAGGGCGGTCGGTACGTGGACGTTATGGCCAAGTAAAGATGACACACGAGGATTTTAATTTCGAAATGCACAAGCGAGCGGGGCCGGCATACCTGAGCCAGCATCGATCGATATGCTGTATTATAGAATTTCACATAAAATCATTGTAATAGTTGCGGGGGCCTACTGTGCCTGGGGCGCCTTTGTATGCGAAATGAAAAAACGAGTCGCTTTTTCTGTTCCTAAGCCGCCGCTGCTTGAAATCGACGTTGTGATGTGGTAAGACTGATTGCGATCAGGTGGTATCCGAAAGAAGTCATAGAGCAAATACATTTCCACATGTGGCTTTACAGAGTCAAGGCAAATCGTCGTAATATTCTTCTCTAATCAGTCTTGATCAGGCGGTCTTGCATTTCAGCCGTAGGCGGGTTTCTTTCAGTGTTCTTTCAGTGACATACCAAGACAAGGTCCCTTACCGTAAATAGTAAGGCACGGAGGTAACGGGCTTTCCATTCCTTAGTGGCTGCGAGACGCAGGTTCCTGTAAGGATCCAGGATGTAAGGGTGGCGATAACGATCGAGTGACGCCTTATCAGTAAGCCATGTGATTGGGCGAGGGATAAAAGACGGTAAGTCCGCGGCAGCCTGGAAGCCCCAAACCTTCCTGTCACCTCAGAGTTCCCAGTGTCTGCCCGCCCGATCTGAACCGTTGGAGCCTGCCTGGTTCAGGTACAGCGCAGCACTGTAGCAACGGCGCGCCGACCTGGAGGGACACTGGTGTCATCGAAACGGAGCTGACAACCTGACGTTTTCTCTTTCCTCGACAATTTGTTCTTCTGGAATGCAATCAGCAGACTCGAGCTTATTGTAGGTGCTCCAGGCTTTCTAAGTGTCTATTGCTGAAGGAGCCCGCAATTCATTGTTCCCTTTTGGTTTGCTTAATTATTGCATGAGCGAAACGCGCGTCTCAGCCTCTCTTACCCATCTTGAACATCAACCGACGGACCGAACTCACCTTTTGAGATACATCGCCACCACCTGCTAGTTCCCCATACCTTACCTCCCACCTCACCCCTACTTCTTCCTTCCATGCCACATCCTCTCCCGTTCTGATCCATCGGATACCCGAGTTTTCTGTGCCTGTTATCCGACCACCTCTTTCAAGTCCCGACGAATACCTGACGTTCTCGAAAATGATCGCATGCGCGCCGTAATACTCCCGACAAACAACCTACGATGGACTATTCGCGGCTGAAAGCTGCCGCTTTGCAAGGCGGCGAGGAGGAGGAGGCCGTCACCGTCGATACCAGAGCCTTGATCGACAAGGTTCTTGCCAGATACTCGGGCGAATGGACGACGTTGCGAGAGTTAATCCAGAATGCCGCCGACGCCCAAGCAACAACCGTCAAGGTTAAATGGGAGACGTTGCCCTCGACCTCAGTTCCACTCCCCGCCACCACGAACCGATCCGAACTCCTCAAGCATGTCATTGTGAATCACACACTGCGTCGTCTGGTCGTGGCGAACGATGGCCAGCCTTTCACCAAGACCGACTGGGGAAGATTGAAGAGGATCGCCGAGGGAAACCCCGATGAAACAAAGATTGGTGCGTTTGGTGTCGGCTTCTACAGCGTCTTTGCCGACTGCGAAGAACCCTTCGTGAGCTCCGGCAATGAGGCCATGGCATTCTACTGGAAAGGGAATGCGCTGTTCACCAAGAAGTCCACTCTACCTGAGGACCAGAGCAGCGGCGACACCACCTTCGTTCTCGACTACCGGAATTCCACTACTCCTTTGCCGAACCTACTGTCCGTTAGCCAGTTTCTCGCAACCAGTTTGACATTCGTCGCTCTGCAACATGTCGAGTTCTGGATCGACGACTACAAGATTCTGGATCTTCACAAGAAGACCTCACCTAGTCTCGACGTACCCATTCCGAGAGATGTTGAGACGCGGACGCGAGAGGGTCTGATGCAGGTCAAATCGGTCGAGCGAACCAGCACTCAGATCGATGCAGCCGTTATGAGTGCCGCTGGCTGGAAACCGAAGGCTGCGGCGGCGACCAAGACAGCCGATACATACGGCGTTGGATCCGAGGTGCCCTCATTACGGAGCTTCTTCTCGAGGTTGACGTCCTCGGCATCGCAAGTTACTGTCAAGGGAAAACAGCAGAGAGAAGAGGCAGCCGCTCAGGAGGAGATCAGTGAGAACGTGACCAAGCTCTCTACTTCCACCATCTTCTTGCGAGTGACAACCGCCTGGGTCAAGACCAGCGTCTCAACTTCGTTCGCGGCCGAGTTGGAGCGTGCGACGAAGAAACCACCACCCAAGACCACAAAGCTCGCCATTCTTACCTCGTCCTATGACGAGACCATGGCTTCAGAAAGTTCACGCTCCGCTACCATCTCAAAGTCTGTGGACGTGTTCGCCTCAGTGTTACCTAGCAAGAAACCCGGTGGCCGGATCTTCATCGGGTTCCCCACGACGCAAACGACCGGCGCCGGCATGCATATCTCGGCGCAATCAGTCATTCCTACGGTTGAGCGTGAGGCCATTGATCTCAACGCACGATGGGTTAGGACATGGAACATCGAGATGCTTCGGGCGGCTGGTATAATGACAAGACTTGCTTTCATTAACGAGATGAGTGATCTTGACTCCAAGGTCAAGAATCTGGTCGGAGCTGCGACAAAGATTGGCGCGGAAGACCTCGCCAAGCTCTTACCTGAAGCACTTCACATCCTCAAGACATTCACTTTCGCTGATTCTACACCAAGCGGTCAAGTTTCCCAGATTCTTGAGGAAGCGTTCTGGACGGCCTTCAAGAAGGCTTCTATCGAGATATTTTCCTCCAGAGGTGTTTTGTCTAGTACAAAGGTCCGACTCGGGTCTGACGAGCTCAGCAAGTTCGTCGACACCATTCCTGTTGTGCCTCGAGAGCTCATGGAGAATGCTTTCGTTAGAAAACTGATGGACTTCGGTCTGCTCAGTCCAATCACTGTTGACGACGTGCGGATAGAGCTGGAAACCAAGGCAATGAATAAGGAGCAGCTTATTAACTTCATTGGTTGGGCCGGCAAAAAGGCGCTCAGCGGAGAACTGGATCCTCCCAGCAAAGCTCGTCTTCTTGATGTTGCGGTTGCCACAGTCACTGAAGACGGCAGTGAGCAAGGTGATATCATTGCCCTTGGCTCCATTACCAATTACCAGTTAGCGAACAAGATTCCAGCGAATCTGCCGATTCCCCCGAGAACCATACCTATGGCCTACACCAACCATTGCTCTGCTCCTGAGCTGCAGGCCCTTGGTTGGGAGCCTCTGGAAATTGTGCCATGGCTGCGTTTCCTGCTAGAGCTCGGCTCGAGCAGGTCTGACGAGCAGAACTTGAAAAAGTCTCCAAAGTTCGCCGTTCAGGTCCTTACGGTGCTGTCCAAAAACTGGGACAACATTAGCCAAAGCTCCAAGTCAACGATCATCACCCTGCTTCAGGCTCATACTGTCATGCCGACAAAGACGGGCATGAAGAAGCCAACCGACTCTTTCTTCCCTAGCGTCAAGCTTTTCGATGATCTGCCCATCATCCAAGGCTGTCAAAGCTTGAAAGATAAGTTTCTTTCGGCAATCGGAGTACGCAAGACGGTCGACCTCGACACTATCTTTTCTAGATTGTTGAGCCCCTCGGCCGAGGGTGCGCAGAGGTGGAGTCACATGGAGCTCATTAAGTACCTCGCCTCGGTCAAGGACGACATCCCCGCCGACGACATGAAGAAGCTTAAGGATACTCGTTTCTGTCCGGCGGAAGCTGGGGCGAAAGGAATGGAGCCATCCAAAGGCACGACTGAGTTGTACAAGGTCTCGGAGCTGTTCGAACCAAAGGAGACACTCAGAACTCTTCGGTTGCCTGTGTTGCAGTGGCCTGGTCCGCCCGGAAGCTACAGGGCCAGCAGTCACGAGGGCCGATTCCTAGCCATCCTGGGCTTGCGACCATACCCCTCTGTCATCGAGATGGTCAATATGATGGCGTCCACAGATGCAGAGCTCAGAGCGTTCGCAATGACCTACTTCATCGCAAACCATCATCTCAATGGCTATGGGGCCTTCAACCTTGCCGATAGTCGCAAGGCCTTCTTGCCTCTTCAGAAGGACAACAAGCTGGTCACGCCTTCAGCTTGCTTCACCAATGAGGGTGCTGCGATTTTGGGCTTCGACATCCTGAAGAAAGACCTTCATGTGCATGCCAACAAGTTTGGGGTAGTTAGGGACCCGCCCATTACTGAGTGCGTGTCTCGTCTGCTGGCCAAGCCACCCCAGGATCGGCAAATGGCCGTCACTCTCTTCGAGTATTTTGCCCTGCGTAGCAGCGATCTTGGAGAGGGCAGTTTATCAAAGTTGCGTGACGCACCCATTGTTCCCGTAACACGGCAGGCTCGCGACTCAAGCGAGAAGACTGGCTCCTATGTCACCCATATCAGCCCCAAGCGATGCTACCTGGGCACGTCAGCAACCTACGGCAACATCTTTGACTTTGTCGACTTCGGGGCTGATGCGAACACATTTCTCTTCAAGTGCGGAGCCAAGCATGAGCCCACCAAGCCAGAGATAGCACATCTAGCCTGCACCGAGCCTGCACGACTTCTCAGCATTCTTCAGAGCCCGGATAAGTACCTTGCTCTTCTGAAGTCTTTGGCAGAGAACATGTCGACACTGAAGAAAGACAAAGAGCTGATTCGCAAGATGAAGTCATCTCCATTCTTACTCGCAGCCAAGGAGATCCCATCGCCGCCATCTAAGGACAAGCTTATTGACGTGGACGACGACGATGCTCCTATCAAGCAGTATCAGCTGGCTACTGCGAACCGAATCGTCATCTTGGACGATATCATCAGCTACCGCTTGTTCAAGGACTACTTGATCACTGCGCCCGAAGAAGAAGTGCTCGAGGAATTCTACCATCAGCTTGGCGCTCAGACTTTGAGCTCGCTTGTGGAAGAGGAAGTAAGAATCGGACCTCATGCGGACAAGCAGGACCGGGCAGCTGCTCTGCGAAAGCATGTTCTCGAGCGGTCCAAGATCTTCCTTCACGAGTACTCGAACTACAGACGAGAGCATATCAAGCATGATGCCAAGTGGTTGGAGAAGAGCCTGCGCGTTGAGCTCGTCCGCTCGGTTGCACTCCGTCGTTCACTCAGGGGTCACAGCCAGTCTCACACAGAGAAGAGATCCGCCGCCAGCGCACAGTCTGGCTCAAGTTGGATTCTCTACGTCGCAGCTGAAGGGCAGCCGGACATGTACCAGGTTGGTCAGGCCATCTGCCAGCTTCTCCTATCACGGCCGAATCAGCAGGCATATCTGTTCTTCGAGCCCTTCCTGACACTCGACCTCTACGGCCTGAGAGCTCGAGGATACAACGTTGATCGTATCCTTCGTGCCAAGGCTGCTGAGGCAAGATTTGCTGAGGAGGAGCGTCGCAAGGCGCTGGAAGCTGAGCAGAAGCGGATCCAAGAGAAAGAGAAAGAATGGGGTCAGCAAGCCAAAGCTGCTGAGGCTGCTCGACAAGCTGCGAAGACACCGGACCCGATCATGCCGGGCTCTTTCGGGGATGACAGTCCCGAAGAGGCTCACAGATCGCCTCCTCCACAGCAGTCGCGGAAGAACAAGGGGCTCTTCTCGAATCTGTCTCGTCGGTTTGGCTTTGACGCTAATGAGAACGAAGAAGCGGAAGACCAGCTTCAAAAGTTCATTGACAAACCTCCCGAGACGCAGTCGCAGAGCATCGCCAACCAGCCTAGCAGCAGCACGGAGAGGAAACCTGATGATGGGCGCGTGACCAACCCAGCGACTATTGGACAGAACTTGCTCAACGCCATCAACTCTACCAGAGCTCATGACTCCAACAGCGTGTTCTCGCCACCGAGCGTCAACGAGGTGAAGGAGCAGGCCACCTACTGCGACAGCACTCCCGCGCAAAATATAGTTTTCGCGGCGGAGGCGTCGAACAGTATGAAAGTCTTCGTCTCAAAGAACCTGTCCATGGATTCGGGTCAGTTCCTCTCGAGGAATCATGGTCCTATCAACGCCTTTTCTGGTCTTCTTAGCGAGGTCGCTGGCGTTTACTCTCTTTCGCCGCGCGTTCTTCATATCTTTTACGACGAGTCGGGCTCTACGATTGCATTCAACAGCAACGGCAGTGTCTTCTGCAACTTGCGTTTCTTCTTGCAGCTCCATGCGGAGAAGATTCTGAGGACTCAGGCAGGCGAGGCAAAGGCCGAGGCGGCTGTGTGGTGGTGGGTAGTGTTGGCTCACGAGCTGGCGCACAACCTGGTCCAACCTCACAACTCGGACCACAGCTATTACACGTTAGTGATCACTCACCCCAAAGACCTCAACAATTGAGCTAACATATCATAGTGAGTCGTTTATCCAGCAATACTTCGCCAAGATGGTGATCAAGACGGCGCAGTGGACTCAGCAGACTGCCGCGGCCCCTCCTGCCCTCCCCTCTGCAGCCTCGCAGGCTCAGTCGCAAGCCCAGCCGCCTCCATCGTACAATGAGAGCAATAGACAGGTGCCGGGCAACTCCAGATACACCTTGTTTGACTAGAAGTCGTTTAGACGACACAAGGCGCGGTCAACAGTCCGACATCGCCTTGACCATTGATTCCTCCAAGACATAGATCCCTCCTCTCTCGTGCGCTTCATGGCGTCGCCGCTTTTTCATGTCAGTTGTAGCATTACTGGAGTTTTTGGTAGCACTGTAAAGGAATGAATTGGTACATCGTGTACATACCTTAGAATATGAAGTTCCCCCCCCCATTCATTGGCTAGTGGAAAGACAGCCTCGTTTATCATGCATCCCACTCACGTGTTGCTGCGCCTCAGCTGGGAGCCTCCCCTACATGACAGCCTGATGGAGGTCTTTGCATTCCAACTTCTCGCTGTTTTCTCACTCCTCGAATATCTTGGTCCTTTAGTTCGCTATTCCAAACATCCGCGGCCATCAATCCCTTTAGAGTTGGTCCAAACTAAGATTGGAAAGAATTCTCCCAACCCACCGTGTGTCTCGCGCCTTGGTCACCAACTACCATGACTGACTGCACCAGGGAACATATTGCAAGTGACTATCGTCTCATTCAGGCTGGTGCCCGTCAAACAGGGTAGACATTTTCAAACGCCTGCCTATTGACTCACGGCCGGCCACTCGGGCTTCAGTTCAGACTCGTCTTGCCTCGACGCTTTGCTCTTAAGAAGCAAGACAGCATGAGGCTCATCAATGTCGATACTCTACAGTTGGAGGAATTCTTCGATGGCAACATGCCCGAGTACGCGATTCTCTCTCATACTTGGGGTAAGGAGGAAGTGAGCTTTCGAGATCTCTGCTGGCTCCACGAGTACGAGGGAAATCGCGAAGCCTTTGCTTCTCTCGAAGGCCTGATGGCTTCAGCTACAATGAATTCGGAAGATAAGGCCCAAAAGTTACGACGGCGGTCCGGATTCGACAAGATTATGCAGAGCGCACACCTTGCGAAAATGGAGTCGTTACGATACATATGGATTGATACGTGCTGCATCGACAAGAGCAGCAGTGCTGAACTTTCCGAAGCCATCAACTCCATGTTCAGGTGGTATCAAGAGGCCGAAGTTTGTTTTGCTTTTCTTTCGGATATTTGTGTTGATCGACGACAAAGCAACACGGATACCGGTTCGGTTTTCAAACAGAGCAGATGGTTTACTAGAGGGTGGACGCTGCAAGAGCTTCTAGCCCCCCGCCGCGTGGAATTCTATGACCAATATTGGTATTACGTTGGAAACAGAGATCGTTTGCGAGATATAATTTCGAAAATCACCGGCATACCAGGGAGGATCTTGCTACAAATTCATCACTTTCAAAATGTGTCTCTGGCAGGCAGAATGTCTTGGGCAAGTCGGAGACAGACTTCGCGCAAAGAAGATATGGCGTACTGCCTCCTTGGTCTGTTCGACATCAATATGCCGCTTCTTTACGGAGAGGGCGAAAGGGCTTTTGTTCGGCTGCAGCAAGAAATCATCAAGGAAACATCTGATCAAAGTCTATTCGTTTGGGGTATCAACCAACCCACTGGTACTGGAGGCCATTTTTTTGCGATGTCTTCGGCCCTCTTCGCCGGAGCTGGTTCACTCCTCATGGGGAGGTCGCCTTCAGAGTTCCAATTGACCAACAGGGGCCTCCGAACCAGTTTACCTCTTCTTCAACTGCCAGAGTTCAGAAACGAATCTCCAACCTCGCGTCAATACTTTTATGCGCTATTCGATATTCTTGATGACCATGGTGGCAGGCTGTGTCTCCCACTCTTCGCAAACGAGTCTCCTTCCGGGCCTACGGGTACCGAGCTGTTCAGGTCTGCCTCTAGACCAGTTACACTCTCCGGAGCAAGCCTAAATAGGCGGGCAAAGATCGAGCGTGAAGAGCTGGTGATAGTGCGGCAGTCTTTGGGTCAGCAACCATGGGGCCACCGACATGTGGTTTCATATTCCGCCCCTGCCGTCGGTGTTGGGCCCCGGCGATCCCCCAGTAGAGATTATCGAGACTTTTCCTCCGATGATAGAAACTAAGCTCTTTCAATCGGACGTTTCCGTCTCCATGCCGAACCTTTGGAGTCCGAATGCACGGTATTTTTTCCTGCGTTGTGCGCTACCCGCAGCACTGGGCGACATTTTACCCAGCCACGGTGCCGTACGAAACTTCGTCGTTGTCATCAGCCTTTCTTCGGGGACGACGCCAACTAATCATGCGCCAAAGATTCAGGTTATTGACTGGGAGGCGTTCCATCTTGCCTTTTGGGATGATGAAGGAGGCACAAATACATTTAACCCGTACAGAACATTATCTCAAGGAGCTTTGGCCGATGGAATCGTCTCCGGCGCCCTTTACGCGTCTTTAGCCGATGCCATCGTCTCCGGCGCCCAATTCCATGCCTGGCGAGACTGGTCTGGAGAATTCGACTTCTGCGTCAACGGCAAGCCTCTTAAAGCGATCACGAGGTTTAGCAGATGGCCCAAAAGAATCGTCCTAGAATGGTCATTTTAAAAGAAAAGAAAGGCGCCAGGGGCTGTCGGTCTGCCAAAATCAAGGTGTTGGGGAATAGGAGTGGGCAGGCGTTGTGGTAGCTTTGGCAGCTTGATCGCGGTTCCTACCAGAGGTTGAGTCTGACTTTCAAGCTAGGTATTCATGTTTGCCTTTGCAATTGCTTTTCATCCCTTATCCTTCTCCGGGTTCCCGTCGTGACAGTAATTACAAAGGTAGAGGCAGACAAGGATACTTGAAGACATAGGGGTGATAGGAGTGAACATGGAATGGTGTTGGGAGAATGGCTATGTATCATGGGGGTATTCGCCAGTGGTGCGGTAGTGGTTGTTAGTTAGTGCACTGACCACCGCTCTGTTTTAGTAGGCATCTGGCGGGAAAAAAAAGAGATTTTCTTGACAGCCCAGATCTTTCCCATTTTCATTCTTGAGAATTTTTACCTCACCAAATCCTTTCCCCCTTTCCCTTTCTTCCTTCATGGTCTACAATGCATAGCGCATCCCGGATATTCAGAGGGATTAAATTATCCACTGCGCAATCCTGACGCCTAGAACTTTTCTACCTCATCCGGCCGATCCTACCGTGCAGTTGGACAGAGCTCTCGATTAAGCTTAGCTCTTCCCCTCAGCAGCACCCAGTATAAGCACACATTGTGCTCCCGCCTTGCAGCAACCACACAGTTCCTCTTCTGCGGCGGTGGTGTAAGGGTAACATATAAGCTTCCCAGTCCTTCCAGGCTTGCTTATGCATCGAGTTCGAGTCTCGGTCGCCGCAATTTGTTTTTTGCTAGACTCAACGAACATGCCGGTGTTGTAGGTTTGCATCTTTTTTTGCAGTTTTCCGCTGTGGCAGTGTCAAAGGGGGCAAACCAGGTATCAAGCGTCCACTCAGTGATTGATTCATCGAGTCAAGGCATGGACAATGTACGTTACTTTACTACTTCGAGGATAACTGACATCCAGGTAGGCTAGTCAGGGATGCACCGCCCTATTTATTTTAAGTACAAATTTCTGATTGTGAAGATACCCTTGATGAACTAGAGAGTGTCTGTCTACGAAAGAGACAATGATCGTCAAGAGCACCTGTAGTTTCTGAGACTTCCCTGTTCTTCGTCTGAGAGCGTTGACCTGCCAGCAAGGCGATTGAACCATGATCAGAGAGAACACGAAGAAGAGAACCACCAAATAAATACCCGCATGCAAAGGCCAATTGAATGAACTCTGAACTCTGTACTCTCGCTGTTATCTCGTTTCTAACCAAGAAACTTGTCATAGCAATGGTGAGTAGGCAGATGAAGACATGATGAAGGGGTATCCTAGCCTCACCCGATGGTCCCAAAAACCAGGCAACGGACCTCCGTTGTCCGGGGCCCCACCCCGGCACCGACCGCACACGGTATTCTCAATATGCCGGTGCCCGCGCACTTAACATCTCATATCCAGTCTCCTTTGTCGGCTGCTTGTTTTGGATTTGTGACGTCTCGCTGCTTCGCTGCTTCGCTGCTTACTTTGAGTTTCCGGTTCATGGTGAGGCATTCGCATCCGGCTTACCCGCCACCGCTCGCTTCATCTCATCTCTGAAAGCTCATGTCATGCACATCCAGACAGCTGCAAAGCCAACAGCGTACCCGTCTTCCCTCAATCCGAGCGGGGAAGACAATATGATAGCAGCTCTTTCATTCGTGGTCGCCGTTGTAGTCCCCCTTGCTTCGAAGTACCGCCCATTCGCCAACCTGTCCGTGGTTGCTCATAGATAACCGGTGACTAGAGCTATCAGTTGGCTTGGCTTCAACAGGTAGCCTGAGCTTTTCGTGCCTTGCTCGATCAGAAATCGAGAGACCAAATTGACAGCAGTCGGTGTAGTCCCGTAAGGGCACCCACCACAGCACGTATTCGAGAAGGTCGAACCGGACGTGCGCTTCTTCGTTGTAACCATCTGTCACGGAAACAAAGGGTCAGAGCTCAAAAGTGCAAAAGAGTAAACGTCCTCTTTCCCGCAGGCGGTTCAAACACAAATGGCGACCGGCTCACCTTCAGACGAGCCTGGAACGGAATGGCGTCACAGCGACATACGCTTTCGAAGCTTGCGGTCGGGGATGGACGCGACGTAGCTCTCATCCTTGCTCTCCTCATAGATGGCTTAGCTATGGGAGCTTATAAGGGCATGCTGCCGGCTTGAAGCCTCACTTCAAGTTGTTGCTCTTCAAGAGAAAACACAAAGTCACCACCGAATTACAGAAAATGGCACCATCAATCAAGAATGTCGCTCTCGCTGGCGTAAGTATTCCCCTCATCTCTCATAATGAGCAGCCATTGACATCATGCAGGCCGGCGGCAACCTCGGCCCTTCCATCCTGAAGGCGCTCATGGACTCCAACAAATTCAACCTCACGATTCTGACCCGTAAAACCGGATCCCAAAAGTTTCCCACGGGCGTCACGGTCAAAGAGGTCGACTATGAGTCCCTGGACTCCCTGACCCAGGCCCTCAAGGGCCAGGACGCCCTCGTCAACTCGACAAACAGCTTCGACCCTAAAGTGGCGACCCGCGTCGTGGACGCCGCCGTCGCCGCGGGCGTCTACCGCTACGTCCCGCCCGACTTCGGCCTGGACCCCACGCGCGTCCACGTGCCCAGTCTGCCCATCTTTGGCATCAAGGCCCTGACGCACGGCCACATGCAGCAAAAGGCCCAGGAGAACAACGGCCGGTTCACCTACACCATCGTCACCTGCGGGCCCTTCCTCGACTGGGGCATCCGGTCCTGCTTCATGGGCGTCGACGTAAAGAACAAAAAGCTTTCGCACTTCAACGACGGCGAGAACATCATCCCCTACACGATGCTCGCGGACGTCGGCAAGGCTGTCGTCGGCACCCTGCTGCACCCCGAGGAGACGGCCAACAGAATTGCGTACATTTACTCCGCCGTCAAGTCGCAGAAGCAGATGGGCGCGCTCGCTCAGGAGGCCGTGAGCGGTCCGTGGGAGACTACCACCGTCGACGTGGACGCAATCTACGAGAACTGTATGGAGTCTATCAAGAAGGGCATCATGACGCCCGATGTGATGTACCCGCAGCTTTTGTACGCATGCTCCAAGAAGGAGTTTGCCCAGCCGTGGGCAAAGAGCGACAATGCTCTGTTTGGCATAAAGGAAATGAGCGATGACGAGCTGAAGGCGCTCTACAAACAAATTGCCTCAGAGTAAAAAGTCATAGTAGCCACAATAAATCAGGCGTGATCAGTAAAACCCCCCAAAGTAAAGCTTTGCATACAATACGGCCAATGAATTTTGCGCAGCTCAATGCCCTCTATCACGTTCATAGGGTAACAATGTACATGGCAAGCGATGTTATATCAGCATTGAATTCTATCTCCTTCATACACAGTACATACGAGAGTTGTTCATCACGGAAGCCAATCATGATGCGCAGCCTCAAGTAGATGCTCTCGTGAATTGTGGCATCAGCCACTCAGCTTCGGGTATGCCGTTCCAAGCCTCCCAAAATGCATCCAAGCCGGCCAATACACCACCATATTGGCCCTGATTTTTTTTGCTCGGGCTGAGCGTAATATACACAGGTCTTTCTGTCCGGCCGAGTAGAGAAGTCGAGGTTCAACGAACATGAGCGTGAAGGGCGGACCAAAAGGTGGAAGACCTCTAAAAGGGAGAGTATCCGAGACTCTGGTTTGTCGGGTCCGTGCTGTCGAGGCGTGAAGTCGTTTGTACTAAGACAGCAGTATAAGAATGAGAACTTGCGAAAGAAAATCAAGTTCGTCGACATCGTTTCTTGTCCTCGCCGGGGAAAAACATCAATTATTGGGTTCGATTAGGAGCGGAGCTTCGGTTCTGACTTGGCTATGCACCAAGCCGTCCTCGTATTTCTTTTCGGGTTTAGAAGGGAATGTTGGGAGTTCCCTGGGCACCAAGAGTCTCCTGCTGCTCCTGGAGTTCCTCACCACCGGCCTCGATGGAGATACCGACACCGATCTTTGCTTGTTGCTAAAGCGAACATTAGCATGCGGGCGTTTCAAATCCCTAGGTATAAAACTTACAGAAAAGTGGTCAACATCAGCAGCGAGAGTCATCATAACGGGGGCGGCAATGCGCTTCTCTAACAGACAGCTGAGCTTGCCCTTGGAGTCGACCTGAGCGCGGAAAGTAGACATTCTGAAGTCGTACTTGGCACCAATAGTAGTAACACCCTCCTTCTGGAAACCACCCATGACGCCAGCGGCACCGGGGACGAGCGAGAGGGACAAGTCAACACCAGCCTGGACCTTCTCGGACAGACGTCTCCAGTAGGAGGTGTTCAGAGCACCCTGAGCCTGGAGCTGAGCGGTAGCAACCCAGTCGTTGGACTTGTAACGGGCGCAGTATGAGGTAGCAGTCTCGGGACCCTGGGTCATGGCCTGGCGCTGCCAGACAGTCTCGAGACCGAGGGCGAGCTTGGGAGTGACCGACTGAAGGTAGCTACCAATGAAGATTCCGGTGACACCGCCGTCGAGGCAGGAAGGGTTCAACATCTTGAGGGAAGCCGTGAAGTCGTCTCCGGTGTATTCGTTCTCGAACTGGAGCATCTCTTGGCCAGCGCCAGGGGCGGCCTGGAACTGCGTTCTCGACACGAGCTTATCGGACCATCGGTAGTTGAATCGGGTGGAGAGTTGGCCGTCATTATCCATGTTTCCTTGCAAGAAGACCTGTAAAGTCAGTCAGCCAAGTTCATCGCGCTTTGCTTCGCAGCGCAAGTGGCGACGGACCTTGCTTGTTCCATACAACGCAGCAAAGGTGTACGGGTTCAAACGCTCGCCCATCGCAAATTGGTGAGAAACCTGGAACAAGGGCGACATGCTGAAGGCCTTAGTCAGGTCGGCGCGGAGGCCGGTGAACATGTAGTTCGTGAGCAAGACATCGCGCTGGACCTCCCTAGTCAGGTTCTCGGTGGTACCGGGGTTGGACAAGCCGAGCTTCGCCCTCCGTTCCGAGAAGGAGCTGATGGCATCTGAAAGAGAGTTGGCGACGGGGTTGTTCAGGAGAACATTTTGGATTTGTTCCAAGCTTGACGCCATTGTTGCGACGGTCGGCGCTGGACTGGGTCGAACAGAACCGGGTAGATGAAGGGCAAGAAAAGAAAAAAAAAGTCAGAAATAGAACAACGAGGGTACCAGATGATCTGGATCCGTTCGAAATAATACAGCTGCGACTGCCCTGGGGATCGGTTGATGCTCGCGCAATGGGCAGGCAGGGGCGTTGGGGGGGGGGAGGAGGGTCGTCGTGTCGGAGTCGGGTTGGTGATGATTGGAAAGTCTGAATAAATTTCTTCGCTGATTACAGCCAGGTGCTGGTCGAGCACGAGCCACAATGCCACGCTAAATCCAATGGGAACAGCTGGCAGCCACGACTGGTCAAGCCGCAGTGGAGTTTTCTTCTGGAGCTCCAGCTCAATGACAGAATTGTATCACGTGATACCGTCCAGCTCTGTGGCATCGTCTTACGTCAGGCCAGCAGGGCCTGTCGGTCCGAAGCTTAACCGGGTCTGACTTGTCGGGTCGACTCCCCGGCTAGTCCAAGGATGGACTACAGATCCTTGCCCGCATCCGGTACGTTCCCTTGGCCCTCTCCATCGCTGAGCCCAACAGTCTTCTTTTCTTACAGTGTTAGTCTTGGTGCTTCCCGAACTACCTAAGCGAATTCCTACTGGGCGATGACCCCAGATACCCTCGGCTTCATATTCACCATCTCACGATCCCTGAGACTTCCCATATTTCGACATACTCCACGCCACTACTTGAATTCTCCTTTGGTTGGGCTTCGGCAGCACAGGCCTTCGTAGAGTCTCAGTATTGGAGCCGCGGGCCGTCCAAAAAAAACTGGCGGCTTAAATCGGAACGGGCCAGCTCAGACACCAGTGCCACATCTGCCACGATAGCGATCACCAAAACCTTTGAAGCAACTCACCTGCGCCATTTTACCTGCTGCAAACAAACTTCGTTGCGCTTCATCCAAGACCAAGACTCAACTCGGACAAGCTTCGTGAGGACTGGACATCGACGGCTGCTTTTCTCTACCTACCGTATTCGTACTTCAGGAGCAGACAGTGCGTCACCGTGTCTCCGCTATTTTCTTCCGCAGCGGCCCCTCCACCCGGTCCAGAGGCCGTAGTTGCCTCAAGCGCAACCCGCTCCCAGCTCAGAGGACGGGGCACAATCCTTGACTCTTTTGTTGTTTCGAGGTTCCAAGGAAGATTCTGCTCCAACTGTCGGAATGGACACACTACTGTGAGTTCCTCTTTTCCTTAGGTACCTATTATAGAAGGAGGGGTCATGAGAACCCCGCCAATTCATGTTCTACACATCAACTCCTCTTGTGACTGGGGCAAGTGCCTCTGGACACCATGTGATTATGGATTAAGTCTACCCAGAATCACGGATGGCCATTCGTAAACGAGGAGTCCTGCAATACGGGATTTGAAAACACACGTTCGAGCCATGTTGGCCAAGTTTGGAACGAAATCCACCTCGCCTAAGCCCGCCTTTCGACGATGGCTCGCCCAGACTCCAGCCTCCTGACATAGCAACTTGTCGTTCTGCCTTCGTCATGGCAGACCTGAGTTTCAAGTGCGAGGACGTAGCAACAGATGATATGACAAAGATCGTTGTGGCAAACACCCATTCACAGTTGCTTGCCTGTCAAGTCTCTTGAAGTACGACTATTGGCAAGGGTTGAAAGGCGACTTTCGTCCATCTCAAACAAGGACACAAAGTCTCAGATACAGAGATCATCACGTTTGAAATCACATCGCTTTCACAGGCTCTAAGGTTGCCAACACCCTCAACCATATCCAAATAGTCCACGTCGGACTGGACTGATTCCAACAGCTCAACCTAAAATCTCAGCATGGCTAAACGTACTCGACTTTCGTTTGTCGATGGCTGGTGGCTACAAGACCTTGTTCACATAGGAGGCGGGCGTGTCCATGTGTGAATACCCAATAAGACGCACGACATCATCAGAACAACAAATGAAGCGAGCGCCAATTACTCCCTCTTTCCACTTTCCTCAAGTTGCTATTCAGTCCTCCTGCTTTCTTTCTTCTCTATCTTGAGATTGCTGCTTTTCTTCTCTTCCATATCAACTTCCCCATCGGAACATCTACCACCATCTCTGACCCTCACTCTCTACTTGATCAGTCATCATGGCGAGACGGATCGGAAGCCCTGACTTGGATAAGCTTCTCCAAGCGTTTGAGCGCCAGACATTCTCCTCTCGCGGCGTTCAGCCTCGACCGGAACTCGCAGAAGGACGAGGTATTGACATCACCTTTCTTGACAGTACTGCGGAGATCGCGGCCAACGCGCCAAGATACCGTCGCAAAAGCTCGACTTTCATCGACGGCATTCACGATGTCCCCGAGGATCAGGATATGGCACCGGCCCAGCTCTATAGCACGATGTCTGGCCGTCTGTTTCACTCTGGTCGCATCGCCATCGTCATGGTCGGTCTTCCGGCTCGTGGCAAGACGTGGGTTACTCCTATTCATTGGGCCTAAAAAAATTGCTAACACTCCTTAGCCATATTTGTGTGTCCATGGCGCGTTACTTGGGCTGGTGAGTTAACAACGTTTGTTTGAAGCGCATTGGCTCACGTTTATCAGGTTGGGAGTCAAGACGCGCATCTTCCATCTGGGCGACTACCGTCGCGCAACCGTTGGCAAGGGCGGTATAGTCCCTGAGGACTATTTCTTTCCTGATGCCTCCCCCCAGTCCGTGATTCTTCGGCAGAAGATTTTGAAGAAGTGCCGTGAGGACATCTATGCTTGGTTGAACCATGAGAATGGTCAGGTCGCGATCTACGATGCTGTCAACCCCACTGCCGCTGGTCGTCGCGCGCTGGCTAAGGAGCTTGCGAAGCACGACGTTCAGGTAAGATTTGTATCGATCGGTATGCTTACTCAAGGCACTAACGTTTCATAGACTCTCTTCATCGAGTCATACGTCGACGATGAGGGCATTCTGCGCGAGAATGCGCGCAATGTCAAGATCTCCTCCCCTGACGTAAGTGCTAGCTGATATGAACTATACAGTGCTGCGTTGCTAACATATTCAGTTCGCCGGCATGGACCCCGATGAGGCTGCCAAATTATACCTGCGCCGCATCGATATGAAGATCCCTGTCTTTGACACCATGGACGAGAAGGAGCTCAACTACATCAAGATGATCAACGCGGGACAGAAGTTCTTCTACAACAATGTCTCCTTTGGCTACCTCTCTCACCGCATCGTCTTCTACCTGACCAACCTGCACATCAAGTCGCGCACCACCTACTTCGTTCGAGCCGGCGTTACCACCGAGGAAGACTCGTACAAAGCGGATGCCCCTCTTTCCGAGGAGGGCATAGCGTATGCCGTCAGAATGTCAGAGACACTATTGAAGCACCGCGAGCAGGAGCGCGCCGCCCTCGTGGAGAAGGGCGGCCCCGCCATCCCCCTCCGCCCTCTGTCCGTCTGGACCTCCACCCGTTGCCGAACCGTTCAGACCGCCGACTACCTCAAGAACAAGGGCTACAAGATCCGCCAGCGTTCGCAGATGAGCCAGATCAACCCGGGCGTCTGCGAGAAGATGTCGGAGCGGGCTATTCGCCACCTGTACCCTGAGGAGGTCGAGAAACACGAGCTGGACCCGTATCATCACAGATACCCGCGCGCTGAAGTAAGCATGTAGACCTCATCATCGCTGATCCTCTCTTGTGCAACACTGACACTATATACCTAGTCATACCACGACCTCGCCGTCCGTCTCGAGCCCATCATCCTGGAGCTGGAGCGCGAGCAGAGCGACCTCCTCATCATCGCCCACGAGTCCGTCCTCCGTGTCCTCTACGCCTACCTGATGCACTGCGCCACAATGGACATCCCCATCCTCAAGTTCCCGCGCGACGAGATCATCGAGATCATCCCCGCCGCCTACCAGAACGAGGCCAAGCGCGTCCACATCCCCGGCGTCGACCCCAAGATCACCCCCGGCTCCCCCGAGGACATCCGCATCCCCGTGCCTGGGGGAAGCGGTACCGCCAGTGGGAACCTCTCGCCCATGCCGGGTCTGTCCTCTCCCGCGGAGCCCAACGTCGTCGTCGAGCGCCCGCCCGAGAAGGTCATCAACACGGCCGCGGAGATGGTCGCCGACAGACAGAATGACGAGGATTAAATCGCGAAATGGCTTTTTTTGCGGCTCAAATGGACCACTAGCTGCAATTGGTTGAACGGAAAGGACGATGGTGGGAAGGTTTTCCCGGCTTTTTCACAATGGACCGAAGCAAAATGGGCAAGGACATTGAGAGACGGGTCGGAATTGCTAGTGTGGATGGAAAACCATCATTTTGCTCCAGCCGTGGGATGACTTTCTCACAAAATTTTGGCTTTGCGTCCGACGTAAGGACACCCATTTTTTCAGTCAAAGGGGGAAAAGGGACATGGTTTCTGGTATCCAAACGCGCCAAACATGGGAAATGCACAACTGGGAAAGTAGGTCAGGTAGCTGAATCTTCATGAATGACGACCCAGTCATCACAGTTTTATTTATCCCAAGCTGTTCTGTCGTGCAGAGAGGAGGGGATGAAGTAGACATCTACAACTCCTCTTTGCTTTCAACTCCGTGGTATTCCGTTAATTTTTTTTTGGAGCCAAAAAAAGAAGAGGAACTCCGCTGAACGCCCTCTCCGTGCTCTCACGCCACTGACGGCGCTGCGACCTAGCTGTCGCGCAGTCACCGCATTGTATGTACCTCTTCTCTGCCGCTTGCCAAGACTATCTCGGTCCACCAAAACTCCTCGCTTTTCCAGGGCTGAGACAAGCTCTCGTCGAATCTTACCCCAAATACACCAACTCGCTGATAAACTCATAACTTTGTCTTCCTGTCTGTCGTTCATTCTTGATCTGTCGTCGGTAATGTGTTTACATCACTGCGCATTCTCGCTCCGGCTCCTCCCCATCCTTGTTTTTCTTCTTTTCCGTGGAGCGACTCTTGGACTTGCCTCGCTTGTGTACATGCCTGTGATGATACTCCGATGACTTTCTCTCCCTGGTCTCCTTGGAGTCTTTTCTGTCGGTTTCTGCAACAGGCGTTGGCTCGGCATCAATGTTCTCAACAAATTCCTCTTCAGTCACTGGATCAGGGATAGGGACACTGATGGACGTCGCGAGCGCGTTGCTGCTCAGGTTGCTGTTGGGGTCACGAAGCGGCTCTCTGCTGGGTCGCATGAGCCCGCCGAGTCGAGTCATCGTAAGACTGATGCGGCCCTCTCCTGCTTGACTCGTAGGTCTGCTTTTGCTTTTTCCCGTGAACAGAGCCGCGGCCCGCGAGAGTCTTTGGGCTGTCGTCTCTTCTCCCGGTGTCACGGCTGGCGATATAGCGTCCGGAGTAATTGCTGGGGTGCCTAGTGTGGAGTCTGTGAAGGTGACACTACCACGACGAGAGTCTTTGAATCCTAGGTATGGCTCGTCATCGCCAAAGCTTATACGGCTAGGCCGCTCCAGTTCCGACGAAAAGCGAATGCTAGGCGCTTTGGGTGGGGATATCGAGGTATTCTCAAAGTAATCGCTCCTCGACGATGACATTCCAGAGTGATTGCCGTTGACCGGATTTGGCGTGGTCGGTAGGTTGATGCTGACCTTGGACTCGTTGTAAGAAGGAGGCTCAGTTTCTGTCTCTTCGGTTGACGCTACCTCTACCATCGGTACTATCTGGTAGAACAGGAGGTAGGGCATTTCGTCTTTCAGTGCTTGCTTGATGTCGTCTACATAAGTCACCCTGCTTTCGATGTTCAAGTCGTCGAATTTGACCCATTGTGCTTCCTCGTAGTCGGGAGGGGGGTCATTATCGTGTCGTCTGTTGTCGGTGAGGAGTTTGGGCGCAACTCTAGCGAACGAGACATAGTGTCCACTATAGACCGAATCGCCACGATGACAAACCACAGACTGAAGCACCAACTTATACTCCATGCTGAAGCCGTTGGGGTCTTCTTCAAGATGCGTCTCGTCGCCGAGCATGAAGTGCGGAAGCCGAAGACTGTCCGGGATGTCGATAAACGTGTTTTGGCGTTGTGGAACGCCAGAGTTGGACATCATGTACCGCTTTAAGCAGATACCGACCACGGGTCGTTGGTTGAAGTTCATAGCGACCTCCATATCGTTCTTGGGCTCCTTGTTTCCGGCAGCGTGCCACGGAATCAATCTGAAGAATTGCCAAGCTGGAATCGTCACGGCCTTCACCACAGTAGAGCTCGTTTGTCGCGCCTTTTCCAGCATAGTAGTAGATGTGTCGGCATCCTTGCCCTTCTCCTTCTCCTCTAGTACCACGCGTTGTATAACACTGGTTGAACGGTGTCTTGGAGTCGGCCGTGAAGAGCTACTAGGAGACACTGGCGCGCCATTGGGGGTTTGCGAGGTTGTCCAGCGTCGCTCAAGAACTGGCGAAAGCTGTGTGGGCGACGCGCTAAGCGTGTCTTGCGCGCCCGCCTCTTGTTCATTCTCTTGAGTGACGATCCGTATGCTGTTCGCATTGTTTGGTGTCATTCTCTCTGCCTCCTTCTTGTCTTCGTGGCTGTCCCTGAGCACATCTACCTGTGTGTTGAAGTATTCCTCCAAGCAGTCTTCTAACTTGATCCCCTTGCCTTCGGAGTCGGGAGGAACTGCTAGATTCAGGAGTCTCTCGTAGACTAGTTTGTGATCGTCCTTGTCGTTCTTGCCTTGGTGAAAGAGATCGACTTGTAATTGCAAGAGGGGCAATTGGAGCGTTTCGGTGACGAAAGCGAAGGCTTCGGAGGTATCTTGCTGCTCTAGGAGCTTAGCGTCACTCCAGCCGCAGTCGGCCAGCGCATCTTGGATCAGTTTGGTCTGTGTCGATTAGCCAAAGTCAGGTGTGATGAAACGAGCTACGACTTACCATATCCGCGTATATCATCTTTCCGCTCCTGAGCATGTTCACCCACAACCGGAGCAGCGTGACTAGTCTGCGTCTTGGCTCGTCCGTGAACTCATTCTTCAGCATGCATTCGAAGGCGTCCAGCTTCGCAAACATGGCAAACAGCAGGGAGTCGAGGTAGCATGTGACATTGCCCCTATTCTCTGCGCCGACCATTTCGATTTGGGGGTTATAGTGCGTGACCTTGCCCGCAATTGCTTTGTATTGCATCTGGATAAACTCGACGGTTTTGTCGACATCGCCGTCAGCGAACTTGCTGTTCAGAGAGTCTCGAATGTGTTCCGCAGCTACGTCGGTGATATTAGACTCGGCAAGAAGGTGCCTAATATCTTCGATCTGTAGGGCTGTTAAACTTGTGCAATATTGTAGTACTGCGCTTGGTGTACCTTGGCTATCTCCTTTTCCTTCACTTCCTCGTCAGTGGGTGCTCGATCGCCCTTGAAAAGCGACCTGAAAGCTTCGGCCGAAAGTGGTCGATTCTAGTTTGAAGATGTGGAATTAGTGTGGCCGTCCCCATGGAAACGCTTTTGGAAAGGAGTCTCTTCAGTTTCTGGGATATGAAGCTCACCTTCTGCCCTGGCTCCGAGGATTTGCTCCTGCGATGGGTGCCATTCCTGTCCCGCAGGCTAAGAAACTTCTTGCCCTTCATGGCTGCAGAGCCTGTTTGTTGCCAATAGCTGGGGTAGCTAAGTCGCGATTTGGTGCCAAAGGGCCTTGGCCACACGAGAGAAGCAATCGTCTCAGCGGTCAAGAATCATGGCCAGGTTGAAAGTCGCACCCCCATCGGCCAGCAATACGGGAGTGGGTGAGGTGGGGAGCAATGCTGAACAAAGATGAAGAATGCACCGAGTGCAAGGTTAGGTATGGAGGGGTTCTGGCGCGTGTCGGCGGGGCAGATTTTCGCAGTCGCAAAAGACGGGGCTGGGATGATCAGGTCTGGAATCTGGGCTTTCCGATGCAGAGCGACGGTATTTCGCGGTCCAGGTGGCCTGTAACGGCTATGGGTGAGAAATCGAGTGTCTGGCGTTTCCCCGAATTCCCTGAAAGAACAAGTTGATTCCAGGAAACTGAAGAAATAGGCCACTTGTATTTATTACTCAGGCGTCAAGAGAAGAGGTCTGGAGTGGGAAGACGAGATCCTATGGTTGAACACACGGGGAAATGCTAATAAAGCGAGAAGGGTAGCGAAGGACCTTCGACTGGCTCCTGGCGTCAACAAGGGTCAGATGGTGGTGGTTTGTGGATTTGGCTCAGAAAATTCGGGGTCCAATGTGAGCAGCAGCTTTGGCAGGGTGCATAGGTGTGGAGATGCACCAAGTGGACGGACGGGCGTGTACTGACGCGGCAAAGCTTGGGCGGGATGGTACTTATGGCCCCTGAGAGATTTCCAACTTTCCTGCTGGGGGCACTCGGCGTTCCTTGCGGACTTGCCGTCAGTTGACTCGGGAGTCTGGGAGCGCCAGGTCGGTGGAGGGTGGTGGCAAGGCGGACTTTCAGGTAGCTTGCTTTTACTGTTTGTCACCTCAGACAGACAGACGGACACGGCGGATCCTGCGTTGTCCAAGATGCCTGTGACTCCGAGCTGACCTACCTGTCTTTCTTCTTCTAGCTGACTTTAGGTTTCCCGGTTGGCAGCAGACGGAGTGTATGTACGTGGTGGGGATGGGACTGTAGCAAGTAAGGTAGGTCAGGTAGTGTACGAAGGAAGGGAAAAGCCAGAATGTTCCGTCGTCCCTTCAGCTCGGCTGCCACTTTTCTCACATAGGCCCGACCGGGCTCCGAATATGAGTAAAAGTAGCCTGCCCCAACATCCAATGTCCACGCGAGGTGACATACGAAAAACCTGTCTGTCGTGGGAGGAACATCCGAAATTGACTAGGCTGCCCATTTCACAAGATGAAAGTGGCAAGTCGTCCATCGCATCAATTGCATATCATTCGATCCCCCAGTCACAATGGTTGAAGTTAATTGGACATCTTGACGTGGCCGGTACAAGAACATTTTAGGCTGGACGTAACTCTCCTCAAGTCTCGCCTCTTGTTTCGAGGTGGTTTATCAGGACCCGAATGATACCCTATGGGACACATCCTGAAGCGTCCCTTACTTGCGTAGATCCGATATCATGGCTCGTTTCATGAGCCTCCTCGACCATGGTGTTCTTTTACGCAGAGCTGGCTTCGCCAAGAACAGACGAAGAACAATTAGAAGAACGAAAGCAATACGGGCGTCTTTCACTGAGCTACCCACCCTAGCGACCCAACTCTAATCTAGCAGCAGAAGTATCGGGCTTACACACGGAGAGAGCAGCGCCCGCAAAGAGCATCAAAGTCTCTTGACAATGAATTAAAACTCTGTCGCACCATTTGCCAACCCCAAGCCCCCTAACCACTCGCGTTGTGTGTGTTGGATGCTGATCTGTTACTGAAACTAAACTCCAATCCGATAAAAAGCGCTCGCGTAAGCTGTGCACGTTCGCTTTCGCGTCCATCTTGGGTGCAATCAGGCAACCTGCATGCTAGCGCGCGCCGCTGCCGCACACCGAAGAGCACACAATGCCCATCGTTGCCCATCTATCCGTCCCATCTTTGCCTGTTCGTGTCCGAGAGTGCAGCTCAAGTGTCTCCCCACCCTGTCAGCTCGAGCAAAGCGGAAGGCAAGCTCCAGCTCTGCAACCGAACGCGCACTTGCTGACCCATTGAGCTGGTGACTGACATTCAGCTGGGGCCGAATGACTGCTACGTAATCGAGCTGCGCGCACAATTTACCCGCTTGCCGTTCTGGTAGAATGGATCGTCGGTGCCTAGCTAGAGTCCGAAGCTCGATGGAGGGTGTCAAGTAAGCGGCGGTCTTGTTCCTGATGACGACAGTGGGACAACCGCAGCCTGGCATTAAGGGACCGAAAGTCCGGATGCTGCTGGTCACGTTCGCTCCGACGGCCCCCGAGTGACATTCCCAAGTCACTCCGTGCTCTGTCGCCTGAAGATCTAGGCTAAAGCCCGCAGGCATATCAAGCCACACTTATCCCCAGAGCTGAGCAGAAGGGTCCACTTTACAAACACACCAGCCACGGGTGGCACGGGCCGACTGAGCATTTCGAGATTGAAATTTCGAGCATCGCGACTTGCCCTTGCAGACGTGTTGAGTTGCGTGACAGTAATAACGACTAGCCATGGCCACTCTGCGAGAAAGCTCCCGAATAACTCGGTTTGTCTGCAGGCAGCGCTCGCCGTGGCAATTGACCACTCTTGTCGCCCGACGATGCGAATCTACCAGTGCCTCAGAGGCTCAGTTCGCCGACCTCGAGAGCTCGTCCCTGACTGCGCCTGGTCCTGACGATGCTGCCATACAAGCTTTCAACACGGCGAAGCGTTTGTCTGAAAGACCGCAGCAGCTTCCCGGAAACAGGTGCGCATTGAATCTTGATTCTAGGGTGAGGCAGAAGGCTAATCGATGAGGCGGCAGATATCAATACCATCCCCCCAAGTACAACAGAGGCCCTCTGCACCCGATTCAATCACCGCCCTCCACCGATCCCACGGCACGAGACTTCGTTCCTGGGCCCTTCAACCTCCCTCGCTTGCGCCAAACCTACGATGCGACCATCGCCGCCGATCTCCTTACAATGACCTATCTTCACAAACCCCCGGGCACACCAGAAGTCCCGGTACGGGAGCGTTTAAGAGCGTGGGACGACTCCTCGCCGTATAACAAGAACCGTCCTCTCCGCGGACCAAGAGGTGGGAGCAAGCTCGACCTGCTGGAGAAGAACATTGACTGCCGGTCCGTTCCCGAAATCAAGGCCGTGTCGCTCCATGCCTTCATGCCCTCGGCTGCCAAGGCGCCGGGAACGCTCCAGGTTGCCCGTTCGGTCATCCAGTCCATCAGCGGCAACGTCCCCGAGATCACCAAGACCAAGAAGAACGTCGTTCAGTGGAAGATCCGCGAGGGCGACAAGACCGGTGTCAAGACGACCATGCACGGCCCCCAGGCGTACGATTTTGTCGACAAGTTGATCAACCTCGTTCTGCCCAAGATCAAAGACTGGCCCGGTGTCAACGCAACCACTGGTGACGGAAACGGTGGTATCGGTATCGGTCTGAAGCCGGATGACCTGGTCTGGTTCCCCGAGCTCCAGATCAACTACGACATGTACCCTGCCAAGGTGAGATATTCCGTCTGCCTGCATTGTGTGATCAAGATGCTGACGAGTCTCTGCAGCTCCTCCCAGGTTGCCATATTTTCATCCACACGACCGCCACGTCGAACCGCCAGGCCAGGCTTCTACTCCAGGCTCTTGGCCTTCCTTTCTACGGAAAGTTCAAGGATTAAAAGGGGACATTGTGGGGAAGGGGTATCCCGTTTTGTACGATATCAACATATTAGAAAGCCTGTATATGAATGTACCAACAGATACGGTCACTTTTGAGATGTTTTTGGTGCCAAATGTGTGATCAAGTTCTTGGTTCATCTCATACGGTAGTAATCGTCTAATACCATAATCCCATGTCTTTTGGTTGTCCCATACGTCAAATGATCCTCATGCCGTACCACCCGCCGAAACGCCGTCCATGCCAGTAACATACCAAATCCTCCATGCCTCTTTTCTCGGATTGCTTTCATACCGTGATCTTCGCCTTGAGCGCGTTCATAATCTCGTCAATGTCGTCCATGTTCTCAGCGTCGACCTTGCCGTTGCGGAGGCCCTTCTTCTGCAGCTCGTCCGTGAGGACGTCCGCGCCGGGCTGGTAGTTCCTCACGGCGGAGCTGAGCGCATAGACGGCCTTCCTCCGCACAGCCTCCTCCTCCCCCTCCTTGGTCGCGAGCGCCACGAGGGGCGGGATGCCGCCCACGGCGAGCAGGCGCTCCTGGCTGGGCAGGTTGTTCTGGACGGCGGTGCCGACGCACCAGGCGGCCATGCGGCGCAGCTCGTGGGCCTCGTGCTCGAGGCAGGAGAGGAGCGGGGTCCAAAGGCCGAGGTTGGCAATGTTGTTTGCGTTGTCGAGGTTTTCGATGAGCTGCTCGAAATTGTCAAAGGCGATGAGCTTGTTGTCGAGAGTGACCTCTGGGTCCGCCGAGGTGATGGCGTCCATGGACAGCTTCATGAGCTCTGCGTCGCTGGGGCCGTTGCCGAAGAGGGCTGCGATGGCCTCCGGGTTAAGGGTGCTGGCAGGTGCTCTGGCTGGTGCTGCTTCGCCGTCCTTGCCGGCCTCTTGGTTTTCGATACCCCATTTGAGGAGCTCGTTGAGATGCTTGTCACCCATGATGGATAATTGTGGTGAATTTTAAGGTATACTTGTTTGCAGTGGTGCTCAGATTTTGAAATATCTTGACAGTCTGATCAAAGTAGTGTCAAGTCTGGGTGAAGAAATTGAGGAGTCTGTATTGTGTTGATGTGTAGAGTTCGTTGCTATCAATTTCCAGTCTATCACTCACTCTCTCACTTAACTCTCATCAACATCAAAAAGTTCTCCATCACCAAGAGCCACGTCCCGCTCTGACTGGCTGCTCTGACTTGCTACGCTTTTCTGGAACCTTCAAGAAGCTTGCCAACGACCCAAAAGAGACTAGCGCAAAACTCACGTGAGGAGCCCTGATCAGAGCCAGTTCAAAGCGCAAGGTATGCGTCGTTCATGCATCTCGCGGCTTTGAAACTTGGGCAGACAGACGTTGTGCCAGCAAATCTCTCCCAGCCCAATAATGGGATCATAAATGGGCTGAGTTGGCACTTCATCTGCCAGTCAAACATTGGGTACCCTCCTGAACTCTGGATCCGGGAGTCTTGGACTCGTCGAGGGAATGGTTGACGATATTGTCAATGTCCCCCAGGTGGCTGGTAATAAAAGACGTGAACCAAAAAAAAAGTTCCAGTTGCCCCACCATGGAATTAGTTGCCCCTCATTGCCGCTTTAACCTGCCGTACCTCGACGTAGCCGTGGACAGAGCTTCCTCAAGCTACGATATTGCGACGCTGACCTGAGCAGCCTCCGAGCGATGAAGTCACTCAAGCCCTCTTAACCTGGCAACTCAAATTTTCGTATCCGGCTCTTAATCCCAAGCCTCAGCCTTGCATCTTCCATCTGAGAGCCTTCCTGGTCGTTCATTTCCATGTCGCATGTCTCGCCAGTAAGGATGCAGAAATCAGGCATAGCGTCCCCGCCGTAGATGACAGGTTACAGCTTCCGCCGTATTCTCCTATCCGATCTGTGCTAAAAGGTCCCGATCAACGGAGACAACGCCCGGCAACCCGGAGCTCCCAGCCCAGCCACACTGGAAACGTAGCACAGCGTTGGTCGTCGCCCGCGCTGTTTCTTGTTCGGCCTTCCTATACAAAGCTCGCAACACCGTTCATGGACACACCAAACATAGGCACAAGTTGAAGGGGAGAGCAAGCCCTGGTATGCGAAATGCGATATGCGAGGGTGGCATCCGAGAATGTCATGCCAATCACCCCTAGGACCCCAGGCTCTCGTTCCCGCAGAGGGCGTCCATACGCCGGTACGCAATTTGAACCACCAGAGCCGCGACCCCATCTAGCCGTGCCCAGGAGTGTACGGCCCTTGCATGAGGCAGGCAGGCCCGTCGTTCGGTGGTGTCGGCTTCGGGGTGCCTGGAGGTACCTGCTAGACTACATGGTCCGTCTGCTGTGCTTCCGTGCCGTTCGTCGCCGTCTATGCTTCCGCGAGCCGACGTGCCAATGTATCATGGTATGCAGACGACGGGAAAAAGTCAGATAACAGTTCCGTGAACGAAAATAGATTATGCCTGCTTGGCACCTTAGCTCGTGTCTTTGCTGCTTACGGAACAAGATGACGTACGACTCGGGGATGAAAGGGACGGTCAATAGGACGCCTGGCATGTGGTTTGCTGGCGCAAATCCGCCCGCCGCCGTCGAGCATGAACCAGGCGGCCGCGGGAATCTTGTTGAGTCTCACGTGGGCATCGAGAAGCGGCCCCCCGTTCCACAGTCCATGATGAGATGGGATGGATTCGCGATACTGTGTCCGCTACCTAGTTGCCGTGCTGTCTGCTCTCCCTGTCCAACCGCTTTCCGGCGCGAGATGATCTCGGCCAGGCTGGCTCCCATGATCCCATGCTCTTCGCCTGGATTAACCTTGTATTCTCATTAGACCGTAGCGTACGTGCAGGTGGTGGATGTGGGGATGCCCTTGAAGATATTAGGACCGTCACAGTCGGGAAGAGAAACGCGCACTGTATGGTCCGTGGCTTGGCTCGATTGGTCCGCGGTCGCGGTCGCGGCCGTGGAGGTGAGGTGAGCCTCTCACCGTCGGTTTCAAGCTGCCTGGAGGGCAGAGGGCGACTGACGGATAGGGTGACGAATGCTCTTTGCCTCAATAGTTACTGCCTGATAGTTTGAGCTGATAGATAAGGCACGGGTACTAGCAGTTTTGTTGTTGTTGTTAGCATTTGCTGCGTTGAACACAGTAGAAGAGATTGAGAAACAATTCCATGTTCATTCGGATACGATACCTACCTCGAGAAATCAGTAAGAGTGTATCCATTCGCACAACGACACAATACCAGCAAATCTAGGCCGAATTGAAGGTCCATCATCCAATTCGAATTCAGCCACCGGAATCAGTGGTCCAGGCGGGAGAAAAGGAGACCATACGAATACTTGGAGCGGGTCGCGCATCTTCTCTGCAATATCAGAGGTTCCTCTTTGCCCTCCCACCCCGGCATCACCAAAAAGGGTGAGTGAAGTGTGCTACCTCCCGTACCCCACCACACTACTTTGCCAGTCCCAAGCATCCCCGAGCAGCAAAGGAGCAAAAGCACGGGCCCTCCGAAGAGACCGGGGGGAAAGAGGCGAGAGTGAACGCGCGCCTCCTCCCAATGGGCTTCCCCGTCCTTTGTTAAAGCGGCAACTCAAACCCCCGGGCGGCGCTGCCACTTTGTGCCACCTATTCCACGCTCTTGCCCAGCCCACCTCTGCCCGTCGCAGCCATTTGCTCACCCACAAGTCGGGTTAGGTCTCCAGCTGCTTCTGATCGAAACCTGGCCCGCCAGCAATCGCAGCAGCCAACGAAACGCCGAGGAGGCAAAGCCAGCGCTCACCGCACACTGTGCCTGCCATTCCCACTCTTCTCCTTCTTCCCCCCTCCTCCACCCAAAATCAACTACCTCTCATCTTCCCGTAACCTTTCCCATTTTCGACCTCACCACCCATCGACGTGCTCTCTCAGTTCTTTGCCATCCGCTCAGGACTTTTGCCAGTTCCATCTCGCTCCTACGATTCCGGAATCGAGTGAGCTGTCTTCGTTTTCATCTACATTTCTTCTATTTTCCCAGTCCTCACCCACCACCTAATTCAAAATGGAAGGTACGTGACGCCATCTCTGCCAGCAATTCACTCCCTCCACGACTCCGACGCCGCCTCGCCTCCGCTGGCCTCGTTGTCGTCGCGATACTCACCTCCATCGACCTCCGTCCCTCTTTTGCCTCGCTTGCTAACCTGTATCTGTATAGAGGAGGTTGCCGCCCTCGTTATCGACAATGGGTAAGATTCCCCGCCGTCTCACCGACCATTCTGCCTCCTGGGCCTCGAAGGGGTCTGGCCAATCGTCAGCCCTTGCGATAACCCATTGGCACATGATGCATCGATACAATATATCCCACATTGAGTTTGGTTCTGACTTGAGTCCAGTTCGGGTATGTGCAAGGCCGGTTTCGCCGGTGACGATGCGCCCAGAGCTGTCTTCCGTAAGTTCCCCTCATCCGCAGACCGCAATCTTCTCCGTCAGGGGTATACGGATTTGGTCATCCAGACTCGAAGCTGTCGACTCTAACTGTCCATCAGCTTCCATTGTCGGTCGCCCCCGTCACCATGGGTAGGTTTATCTTTTGCCGTGGCAATGCCACTACCTGCTCTTGCGACCTAACATGTGCACAGTATCATGATTGGCATGGGCCAGAAGGACTCCTACGTCGGTGATGAGGCACAGTCGAAGCGTGGTATCCTGACGCTCCGCTACCCCATCGAGCACGGTGTCGTCACCAACTGGGACGACATGGAGAAGATTTGGCACCACACCTTCTACAACGAGCTCCGTGTCGCCCCCGAGGAGCACCCCGTCCTTCTGACTGAGGCCCCCATCAACCCCAAGTCCAACAGAGAGAAGATGACCCAGATCGTCTTCGAGACCTTCAACGCCCCCGCGTTCTACGTCTCTATCCAGGCCGTCCTTTCCCTGTACGCCTCCGGTCGTACCACCGGTATCGTCCTCGACTCCGGTGATGGTGTCACCCACGTTGTCCCCATCTACGAGGGTTTCGCTCTTCCCCAGGCCATTGCCCGTGTCGACATGGCCGGTCGTGACTTGACCGACTACCTGATGAAGATTCTCGCTGAGCGCGGTTACAGCTTCTCCACCACTGCCGAGCGTGAAATCGTTCGTGACATCAAGGAGAAGCTCTGCTACGTCGCCCTCGACTTCGAGCAGGAGCTCCAGACCGCTTCCCAGTCCTCCAGCTTGGAGAAGTCCTACGAGCTTCCTGACGGTCAGGTCATCACCATTGGCAACGAGCGTTTCCGTGCTCCTGAGGCTCTGTTCGCTCCTTCCGTCCTTGGTCTCGAGTCCGGCGGTATCCACGTCACTGTCTTCAACTCCATCATGAAGTCCGACGTCGACGTCCGTAAGGACTTGTACGGCAACATCGTCATGGTATGTTTTCTACAGTAATTACCCAGAGTCGAATTTGAGCAATTAACAAATCTTTTAGTCTGGTGGTACCACCATGTACCCCGGTCTCTCCGACCGTATGCAGAAGGAGATCACTTCTCTTGCTCCTTCTTCCATGAAGGTCAAGATCATTGCTCCCCCCGAGCGCAAGTACTCCGTCTGGATCGGTGGTTCCATCTTGGCCTCCCTGTCTACCTTCCAGCAGATGTGGATCTCCAAGCAGGAGTACGACGAGAGCGGTCCCTCCATTGTCCACCGCAAGTGCTTCTAAGGTAAGTTGACGGTGAATCAAAATTGACCTACGCAACAAATATTGACGGCTATACAGCGTCTTACTTCCCGAACCACACTCTCGCCCTTCCGAAAACATATCGATTCCAAAGAGGCAACGACCGGTGCAAGGTCTCCACGGCGTTGCATATACCGCAGTCAGGTCTTATATTGGCGAAAAGTTGTTGACATGGTCAAGAAGTTTGGGTCGACCCTTCTCCAGAAAGATTTGGTCCTTGTTTTGTAGCAGGGTGCGCGTGGGCGCGTATAGGGGCGGATACGTCTGCAACTGAGGTCGATCATACAATACACTTTGCTTACTGTTCCCGAGTTTCGCACACCCGCTTTTATAGTGATGTTTTAATTTCACGAGAATCCTTTAGCCAGGAGTAGAAATGGAACTATCTATCGATACAGCGTGGTCCTACACCATCATCAAGTGACGTATAATTCTACAGGTTTTTACTTTGTACAGTGGAGCTGGGATCAGCAATAGAGGTCTTTTCTTCAGAACTCGGGTTGCTGTTCGTCTGGTCTTCAACGATTGGTTCACTAGCTCCAGCTTCGCTCGCCTCACTATTTGCTTTCTCTTCTTCGAGCAGGCGGTATTTCCTCTTGCTCTTCTTGGATGCACTGGCGGCTTTTTTGCGCTTCACGTCGCCCACAATGGCCGATCGACTCTGGTCGCCGTTCTGCAGGTCATCAATCTTCTGGGCCAAGATTTCGCGGGCAATCTTGCGATTCTGGGATCGGGACCGGGTTGCTTGGGACTTGACGACAATGCCAGTGGGTATGTGTTTGAGCTGCACGGCCGAGCTCGTTTTATTCTGTGGGGTGGGGGTTAGCAGAGAACATGACGGGAAGCTACTTGTCAGTGATGCGGTCTGATCGAGTCGCATCAAGGTCGAGTGCCGCGCATTGCATTGCATTTCGGTTGGGAAGCAAGGACGAGCGAAGGGCTGGTGGTGGGGAGAAAGGTCAGTGGGTTTTGGAGTTTGCCAAACATACAATTTTCTGACCACCCGGCCCGCTACCTTTGAGGTATGATTCCTCAATGTCGGAGTCTGGAGGAGGTTTGGGCCGAGGTGGCATCTCGTGCTTCTTTAGCGCTGCGGAGGGGGATGCGCTGAAGAGGGCGACGAGGAGCGACGGCTGCAGAGGCAGAGGCGGCCTCGCCGCCGTTAGGCCGTGGCGCATGAAGGCATTGGCGTTGGATGCCCCAGCTAGGAGGGGGAGACGGGTTAGAAGGGGTAGAGGAGGAGGCATCGCGCGCGCCGGGCCATTGTCCGTGGTTTTTCTTTTCGAGATGCGGCGGGTGCTTGGTTGAGGAGAGGCTTGCTGGTGAGGTTTCGAGGTTCGCGGCGCGCGTGGTGGGCCGTGGGGGGATGTGGATGTGGAGTGCCAGCAGCCGGCGGGCGGCTGGGCCGGACGGGAGGTGCATGACGGTGAGGTTGTGCTTTACTGCTAGTTCGGAGGATTTTTGGAGGTGAGGCGGCCAATGAGAGGTCGTGATCACTCAGTCTTTAGTGTAATTTCTGGCGAGTGCTGAGGTGACTGTAAATTGGCCCCCCATATTTACTCTGCTGGTACCTTAGCCTGGCAGTGTGGACTCTCCTTTCCCCTTTCCCGTCAGTGCTTCCCTGCGGATCGGTCGGGTACAGCTTTTGGTGGTACTCAGTTGTTTTGTCGCGTGGGCAGGCCGCCAATTTCACTGATAAGATTCCCGTCCCGCGCAAACCCCGTCCTCGAATGATAGAGTTCGCTTCAACACCCGCCCATCTCCTGGACTCCCTCCTTCGACACCTTCTCTCGCCCCAAGACGAATTACACAAACGTGCTCGGTTCTCGTCGTCAGCCCAAGATTTCGAGCGAACTCAAAGATTAGACTTTTAATTGTCGCTGCAACTAACGTTCTTTGGCAAACACACACCCGGAACTTGGCCCACCTCCTTTTCCCCGGTGACCGCGACTTCACTTCGTAACCCACCTCCGTCGAGAACCGCAAGAACCGAGCGGGCGAGCCCCCTTCCCTAACCACAGACAACTTGTTGGAAAACCGAGTTTTCGTCAGAGGAAACAACGAGCACAAGATGTCGGCCATCCAGTCGTTCAGCAAGTGGCTGCACCTGAAGCAGTACCAGATCGAGGTCACGTTCAGCGTGTACATCTTTACGCCCCTGGAAAAGTTCATCTTTTGTATGTTCAGCCTCGTCCCCTCCATGTACCATTCGCTACAACCACCGCAGCCGCCTTTGACCTCTTCCAGAAAGCGATAATTCGCTGTTTTCAACAACAGTAATTACGAAGCCCCTGCTAACCATTGCCTTTCTCGTTCTGCAGACACCGTCCTCTTCCTCCTCAGCAGCTTGACCGCCATCGCCACCGTCCTCTACCTGCCCCAGCACATCGCCTTCCTCATGAGCCGCGCCTGGTTCTACATGCACGGCGACCCGATCGATGCCGTTGTCGACACCGTGGTGGACGCTGTCGAGTTCACCAAGGCGGCTGTTGAGAGCGTGCTGATGGCCGAGAAGACGGCCACGACCGCGGCTGCTATTGCTCAGCAGACTGTCGAGCTCGTCAAGGAGTTGTAAAGGAGGATGTTTGTTGTGTGTACGCACGCGCAAACGTTGACTTTGTCATATGGAAACGAGGCATGCTGGATCAACGAATGGAATCGGTCAAAGAGGAAGAAAAGAGTAGGAGGTGGAGGAGGGAAACTTTAATGGCGACATGAACGGACTGCCCGATGAAGAGCTCGAAGGGCGCGTCGCATGTTGCGCGCATGTGGTTTTTTTTTCTGGCTTCCGTTGCGGGCGTTTCGTTGGGTTTTAATATGAACTATCTCATGTTCAGGTTCGGATACGAAAAGGCTGATGAACAACCCACACATATACATATACATACTAGGTACTGTAGACTCTTGTTACATGTGGCGACGCATGTACTTAATTCACAACCATTCTTGCATAGACTGGAATGCGAGGCTTCTTTCTGCCTCTACAGAGACAGGTGCATGTTTGACGTAAAATTCATTTCATTCATTCGTCGAACTGGGACGGCGCTCCTAGTCCGGTGAACCTGTATACTCTCAGGGAACTATCTTCGCCAGCAATGCCCAATTCGTCTATGTTGCCTTCACTCTTTGATGGCCGCCAGGCGAGCTGGGAAACGGGTTTGGGGAGGCAGAGGCTTCAGAGTGAAAAGAAGTTAGCTGACATGCTCGAATTGTACATGTAGTGGGAGTAAAAGGGGTGGTTGACTTACATCGACGCAAGCTGGAGTGTGCTGGCCGGCTGGAACGTCTCAGGGGCCAGCGTGCAAAGAGATATCTTGCCAGACTCGGTGCCGACGGCGAGGACGAGCTCGCCGCCAGCATCCCGTCTGCCGAGGAAGTCGACCGCCGTAACGGGCCCGTCGAAAGCAATACTCGAAGCCAGGGTGAACTCGGTCTTGCTTACGCCTTCTTTCTCCACAGCCTTGCCAACCCACACCTTTGCGTTCTTGTCACGTCCCGCCGTCACAAAGACCCTGCTGGCACCACCGCTCGCGGACAGAGGAGCCCACGCGGCGTCGAGAATCATGCGCGTGTGGCCCTTGGGATTCGCCTGGAGCAAGGAGTACTGCTGCTGTTCGTCGGCCCCGCGCTCGAAGACGGCCCACTGCCGGTCTCTGCCCACGCTCAGGAGGAAGCGGTCGTCGGAGGAGAAGCGCAGCCTTGTGGCGGTCAGGGTGTGCGCCGCCAGCGGCGGCCTGACCTCCGTCCAGCGCTCCGTCTCGAAGACGCGGATGACGGCGTGGTTGAGGGAGCTCGCCTTGCAGGCGCTGGCGACGAGCCTGCCGTCGTGGCTGGCGGCCAGGCAGGAGATCTCGTAGCCGTGGCCGTACAGCTTCTCCGTTTCAGGCCAGAGGGTGTGTCGTGAAAGGGACTCCTCAAAGGGCGGATGGTCGATATCGAGCATGGACTTGCGAACGACCGTGGCCGGGTCGACGGCCTCGCGGTCATACTGGTCGTCGGCCTGGACCTCCTGATCATCGTCGACGGCGTCGATGGCCTTGTTGGAGAGGCCTAGGACGGGCATGTTGGCGCCGTCGGGCATGGACTCTGCGGGCGCCTCGGTCTCGATCCCGCCGAGGGTTTGAAGCATTTTGGCGACGGCGCGCGGCTCGCTGAAGACGCGCATGAGCTTCTCATCTGCGCCCGAGACAAACTGTGAGGCGCCGAGGGTATCGATACAGTTGAGGTCGTAGCCATGGATCTGGGGGCGGGACATCTCGTGCCACGAGCGGTGGTCGTCAGCGGTATCACCGCGCCTCCACCGGGCGTGGAGGCGGGTGGTCTGGTCTGAGCTCGTTGACATGAGGTAGTCTCCGTCGCGTGACCAGGCGATACCCGTCACGGTCCTGGTATGGCCGCTGACGGCTATGGCGGGCCTCCACTGGTCGCGTTCGTCATCGTAAACCCAGCGGCGCCAGCTGCCCGTCCGGCCGAGGCAGACGACGGACTTGCCGTCCGGAGCCCAGAGACCCGTCCAGAAGCCGCCGATGCTACCCGTCGCCGTCGTCGCGCCCTTTTCTCTGCTGATCTCGCCCAGCCTGACTATGCTGACCCAGATGCCGGAGGTGCTGTCCGCCTCCCACATGGCGAGGGAGTTGTCTGCGGACACGGACAACAGCTGGAGCTTGCCATCGCTGCGGGTGAACCACTTCGCGCTGTAAATCCAGTCTTCGTGACCCAGGAGAAGAGCCTCGAACGTGATGGAAAAGTCCTTGCCGGCAGACTGAAGCCGGTGGGCCTTGTTCGAGGGAGACTTACCCGGCAGATAGGCACCGCTTAGAGGATCTGAGCCCTCTGCGGCGAGTGAGGGCAGCTCCTTGCCCAAGTGAAGACGCCACAGCCTGACGTACTTGTCCTGGCTTGCCGAGGCAAGGAGCAAGTCACTGCTTGACTCTGAGTTCTCCCATGTGAATTCCAGAGACCGTATCCAACCCTCGTGTCCTGATAGAGTAGTTTGAAGCTTGAAATCAAATGTTTCCTCGCCGGCGGCGGCGACGAATATTTGCACAAACGTCTTTGTTCCAGCTGCCGCTAAAACGAACACGTCCTCGGCTTCGTCGAGTGCTGTGAGAGCCAAGCACAGGGGAAAGTATTTGGGGGCGGTCTTAATAGTTTGACGAAGCTGCAGCTGACCACCACTGAACTGCCAGATCTTGATGGTTGCGTCGGCAGCCCCTGAGGCCAGGAGAACCTGTTTAGGGGCCTTTTTGGACCGCAGGATGGCGATGCAGTTCACAGGTGCCGCGTGATCGTGTATCGTCTGGATGCACTCCCCTTGATTTGTCTCTGCGTCCAGCGACCACACCTTGAGTGTTTGGTCATCTGAGCCACTGATGAGGAGTTTACGGTTTTCGCCGTCCACTTGGGGCAAAAACTTGACTGCTTTAACAACCTCCTTATGACCACTTAAGAGTGTCTTGATTCCCTCTGCATTTTCAGACTAATTCATTCGTCGTCAGAAGGGTTTGTGAGCAACAGATTGGAGGGGAGAGCTCACAGACGGCGCCCACAACGCAATGTTGCAGTCAGCGCCAAAGGCAAGTAGACCACATGGGCTCCAGTCAGCGACGGCGGTCTGCCTGTTGGCTCCCGTGGAAATATATTCTATAGATGGCAGGGCGCCAACCATCTTGTCCTTCTCTCGTCGTCTTCTTCGTCGCCGTGAGATGCTGCGTCGAGGAGTGACTCTGAGGGTTGACAAAATCCGGCGAGGTGATTGGCTCACGGGTCAGAATCAAGAGGTGAAGTTGAAATTTTCTTTGGTGGGGGCGGGGCGTTCTAGGGCCCTGCCTTACAGCGCTGGAGCCGCCGCACCGTTACTCCACAGGCATCCGGCAGAGGCTTGCGCTTGCCATCAGTGCGCCTAGCCCGTCTGCCTGATTGAGTGTTTTCCGTGTGCTCAGGGCCTCCTGTTCCCCCAACCGTGCCTACCTGAAGGTACTATAGGTAGGTACCTTACCCGTGCCTTACGGACACATGCCATCCATCCATCCATCCTTCCTTCCGTCGCATCTTTCTCACATTTGCCCTTACCGTGCCGCGCCTGAATCTGACAAGCAAACAAACTTTATTACCATTACATCTCATATTCTTTATCTGGGTATTCTCCGACGTCTCGCAGCTGCCGGCACTTTGAAACTCGTGAGAGATTTATATTACCACGCCTTGCAAAAGAAAAGAAATGGCTGCAGAGGCTGCAGATGCGGGGGAGAAGATCTCCGTCATTGTAGAGTTCTCGTGAGTCTCCCTCTCTCCTCTCTCGTCTGTTCCATCCTGTGGTCCAAGCAAGGTATTTCTTCTGGACCAGTCCCGTCTCCCGGACTTTGGCCTGAGACCTTTCTACGCAGGCTGATGGGGTCGATTCAAGGATGATTTCATTTGCATCTTGCATAGTTCTTTCAGGTACGGATGCATAACTGACATGGTCCGGTGGGCAGCGGCGGCCTGGAGATGCTCTTCTCTGATCAGCGGCGTCACGCCCTCTCTATACCGGCGGTGAGCAAGGACGGCAAGCCCGCAACTATTGCCTTTCTCATTCATCATCTCTGCGAGAACACGATGAAGGACTCCAGGAAGGAGCTATTCGTCCTCGATGGTCATCTGTACGTCTTAGAGTCGCATCATCCGCGCGCCCGTCTCCATCCTTTGGCATATCTTCATTTCGGCCTCGCCTTGCTCTGCGTTTCTCCTATTCTCACCCCGATGCCGGCTGTGCACGCCGTATATCGCCACTCTGGAGTCCTTCCCAGAATTTGCGTTGAATCTGCAGAGTAGCTATATCGAATGCAACGCTAACGTGGTCTTTCTAGTCGACCTGGCATCCTTGCCCTCATTAATGACGCAGACTGGGAACTTGAAGGAGAGGAGGCGTATGAAGTCCAAAGCGGTGACAATATCCTCTTCGTCTCGACGCTTCATGGAGGTTAAACAGAGAGGGGGCGTGGGTGACTTTTTCGGTCCAATGACTCCTCCTCCTCCTGTCACCAGGAGGGGGCCCTGCAAGTGTTGCGGCCGTATCTCTGGGTCCCTGGAACCAGCAGGATGCATCGCCCCCCCGGGGACCCGGCGCCGATAGAACGACGTTGAAACTCAGACGCCCTCTCCTCTCGCTTCGTGCAGCCACATCGCATCGCATCGCATCGCATCGTATCGCCTCGACTAGTCTGCGGCCGTAGCCGTTGACCCGGCGCCTCTCTTCCCCCGGCCCCGGCCAGCGGGGAGATGCAAGCCGTGCTTCCGCCGTTGGTCTCACTACTACAAATACACCACAACCCTACATCCTTTCGCCTTGCGCGCTGTCGACGCAATGAAACGTCCCGGAAAATGATCACCCCTGACCCCCGTGGCCCTGCAACTGCCACCACCTTGCTTGCCGCATGTCTCGTGGTCGCATCGCGGCGGCAGGTCTTCACCCCTCGTGTTCCCCTTGCACCTTAGCTTGGCTCCCCCGGCCGCCCCGAGTCACTCTCGCCATCATCTAATTTCTCCTAGTTAATAACGGTATGCAACGTCGATGATGGGATGCCAGCGGGATGGACCTCCGGGAAGCCTGTCAAAGTCGCATGCCCTGCCGCGCCACCCTGGACTAAAGACGAATAGTGCGACGTTTGGCAAGATTACCAAGTCTGTTGGCGCCACGCAGGGCGACTGTCGATGGTCGGGGCGGTCAAGGGCTCATGACCAATTGTCCACCAGCTTTGCGGCCGAGAAGATGGAGGAATTGGACTGGATCAGCGGGCTGCGGGTTCCATATCTGTACATACACCCCAAGAATCGACACTTCTGCACCGTAACAGGAAACGGAAATGTACCACGATGCACCTGAAATTGAGGCCTTCACCAAAAGCTCTTGTTGAGCAGCCAGCCACAAGCCCAACTCGCTTGCTTACTTGCTGCGAAGCCCAAGATTGTCGGCCCCCCCTCCCCACCTCCCCCCGGCGTGTGCGCACTTGAAGACGGAGGCGGTGAAGAAAGAAGGGGTCTGTCATGGTGATCGATGGTGTGCATTTGCAGCTGTGATGCTGCAGCCCGGCTGCCCTCCCTTTTCCTTCCCAATCTCTCGTGGGGAAAATCTCTGCGCCTACGTACACTTGTGCTCTGCGCTGCACGTCTTCGGCTTCTGGCCGGGCTGCAGGAAAAAGCAAATGGGGACAGCCGCATCCCGCGTGCGTGCCGCGCGAGCGATCCTAATGGCCCAAAATCCGCTCTCCACTCTCTTGTCTCTCGTCCATGTATCTAACAAGGGGAGGACGGAGACAGGGAAGAAGATTAAAAAAATACAGGCTCCATATGTTCTCGAAGGAACTTTGTCAACTCGTGCCGTGTGAGATACGCACGTAGCAGTAGGACCCCCACCCACATGGCAGACTCTCGTAACTTTTGCTAGAAATGGACAAACCCTCTTTTTT